TTTGAATTCCACGGCTTCATAGGAAGCAACTTTTGTGTCTTAGGGATGACGCACATCCCTAGAGACATTGTTTCTTTGATTCGCTTCCGCATTCGAGATCCGTTATCAGGTTACCTTTCAGGTCATCACTAATGCATTGGGCTAAAAAACCAGGACTGTCATAGAGAGTCTTTTGCACGCAATATTGTCTTTTCAAAACTGTCATTCAATATATTGTAGCATTGAAGACATTGTAACATTTGAATACAATACATATGCATAATAGAGAACCGAAATCAACACCAACACAAAATAGAACCCAACTTACAACAACATCATTACTTATCCCTTGTACACAAAGGCACAAACCAAAATTAGAACAGAGAAGGAACAACAAAAAAAACTTCCAATTAAGAGAGCCTTTGCAATTATAAGAATTAAACCACCATAGGGCCAACTACAGGTACTACCGGTGATGGTGGCAGCTCCATTGGTGATGGCAATTGTAGTGCAACAGTATGGCTTTGATTAGTCACCGCCCATTTTCAATATTTGCAGGTCTTAGTTCGACATTTCAAATATATCCTACCAGGATTACTATCGGAGTCAGATATGTAAACCACCGCCTTTAGCCCACACCAACATTTCCTATTATATAAACAATCAACTACTGATATGATGCCCTTGATGATGAAGCCATCTTCCTACAGATCACCAAACAAAAGAGTGATAAGATGCCAAAAAGAGCGATACAAAGTCACAACGCTCATAGAGAGAGAGAGAGAGAGAGAGAGAGATAATCACCTGGATATTGAGATTTGAGAACGAATGAGATAGAATTGTTGAAAATCGATGGTGAACGAGAGAGGATTTGTTGAGATTGACTGTTAGGGCTTCGAAATTTGGGGCTTTTCTGATAGGGATGGTGGTTCCAAGGGTCGCACCCCAAAAACCAACAGTTTGTGATACCAAAAGATAATGGTGTAGAGCTATGATGAATGTGGCCAAGTTTTACATTTAGAAATTACCACTACTACTTTTCACTAAAAATATAGTTAGGGCAAGTAGGGATCGTCCCAAGGGATTAGTGGGTCGTGCTAGGTTAAGGAATCAAGATTAAGGTTAGTAGGTCGAGTGATCAAAAGATTGATTGGTGGTTGAATTACACTAAGATGCAATTTAAACTAAAGTAGGCAACTAAATGTAATGGAGAGAAAATAAGAAAGAGATCTTGGGGTTTAGAGATCACCACTAAGCATAGTTTTTCTACACCCTTAATGAATGATTAATGAGGGGGAAAACATGTATTGCAACAAAGTGTGTGTGTGTGGTTGTTTCAACAAGCATGGATGACAAATTAAGCATATATTGTCTAAGCAACATGGTGGATAGCACAATATATCAAACAAAGCCATTAATCCTTTCTTTAAGCTCATAATCCCAACACATCATAAGATTAGAGATATGTGCTACTTGCTTTCATAAGTATGGAACATCAAACAACAAGCATGGATTGTCCTCCCATTTAACATCTAAACTACAATTACACTACAATTAAGCTAATGACATGAAATTAAACTAAGGGAGAGACACAATCCATCAAGAAATGAGTATGAACCATCAAATAAAACACAAGAGCATTCCATTAAGTACTATGTCTTGATAATCTCTAGATCTATAGCATTAATACACATAGACATGCATCAACAACACAAGAAATAGAGACAAACACATGAACATCTATTCTAGCATTAATAGACATATTGATAGAATGAAATGATCAATTGGAAGTATTAAACCATACAAATCATTGAATCAAGATGTAGAAAGCATGCTTAGGGCTAACTCTAGCCCCAAGAGGATGTCTAGCCACACATGGATGGTGTCCTCCAACCCTCAAAGGCTAATTCCATGGTAGAGAATGCTCCTCTTCTTGGTTGATAGAAGAACTCTAAGCTTGTGTCTCTAGCCTCCTCCTTTCTTTTCTTCTTCACTAAGAATATCAATATTGTGCCTCTATCTACTCTCAAGCATATCAAGTATATCCCCTAAAAAAGTGGCTCATATTCCTTATATAGGTAGGTCAAATATCACCCCAAATGAGCTGGGCTCGTACACCAATATTCCTTCCAATGATTGGATATGAGACAACTTTTGATGAGCTGGAATTTGAATTTTCTCGGGATTTGGGAAGTTCGATCGATCGAACTTGTGGTGAGATCGATCGAACATGACTGAGATCTATCGAATTTAAGCTGGATCGATCCTCTATGGCAGCGCCTTTTTGGATAAAAACAAATCTGAGATATTTTGAAGATATTTTTAGGAAAGAGACAAATGTGGTAGGTAGGTTGGTACAAGTGGATAAGATGGAATCTTTTCGATCGATCGGAAGAAAGTTGGATCGATCAAACTTTGTGGGATCTTTGGATAAGGATAAAAAAGCTTGGATCCATCTTGGAATGCTGAGATCGATGAACTTTCGATCGATCGAATATATTCTGAGATCGATCGAACTTGCTGAATTTTCACCATTTGCTTCTTTTTGCTCCTTTCTTTGATTCATCTCAAGATTGCTTCAATTATACTCTTATTTAGCTGAGTTAGCTTATTTCGGGGATAAGTACCTGAAAATGAAAATAATACAAAATCAATCTAAAGCGGGAAAATAAGATAGATAAAGGTTCTAGAATGCTTAAGTTTCGGGGATTTAAATGCGCACTTTTCAGTGCTCATCAAGGGATGAATATATGTATATATGATGAATATATATAAAAGGTTAATATAATACGTAGTCTATAACGGTAATAAGGGTATAAATGGTATTCTAAATCATGGCCAAGGCACATGGGTCACATGCTTCCTCTACTTGTTAATTCTCAAACAGTCAACTAACAAAGTTTGATTTCTTACAACAAATTGAATAGTTTAAGGAGTTAAGTGTATTCCTTAAAGTTCCCGAGAGAAAGAGAAGAAAGTTCAGGGGGTTTAGTGCACTTTACCCTAAGATATATGACAACAAATGTAAGCTATTCGTGTCCTAATATTATTTAGGTAACATGAAATTCAGTGTAAAGCATGAGCACATAAAGGGGAAATTTTAAAAAGAGTTGCGAAGGAGTTTTAGATGGAAACAAAATTATAATAAGAAAGAAAATAATTATAATGAGAAATTTATACACTTAATGTAGAAATATGAAAGTTGAGAAATAATAACAAGATCAAAAGTAATAATGATCTTAAAATCTTCAATAAAGAGAGTATTGGAGGATTTTATCAATTCTATTAACTAGTTTACATAATTAATTTTTTTTTTTGTTTTTTGCTCCTTGTCTAATAGAAGTATTGAGAAAATGGTTTCGATTAGACATGAGATGAGAAAAGTTGATAAAATATACATCAAGAGTCAAGCTTGTTTTCTTAAATTGAGTGTAATAAGTTTGTAGTTGCGAATTTGTGATGTAAGTTATAAATGACTAAGTAGATGTCTTGATAGTTTAGTTGATTAGTATCTCTTATGGATTTTAGAGTATTAGATTTCGACTTTTTGTATCTACTAATCTAACTTCTACCACTTGCCTTGTAAAAAAAAAAAAAGTAATAAATGACTTTAAAAAGAAGAAGAAAGACATGCAACAAGCAAAAGATGATATAAGTCATAATTTTGGATAACATTATTTAATATTTCTTTATTATTTTTAATATTTTAATTTACCTTTAAATAATAAGGTCAATTTTATTATTTTACAATCAAGTTATGACTTGCAAATTTTATTATTATTTTTTATTTTTTATTTTTTTATTGGACTCGCAAATCATATATATCAATTTTTTTTTTTTTTTTTTCCTAAATCCATATATATCATTTAGGCTCAGTTTGGTAGAGTGGAAATGGGAGGAAAGGGAAGGGAAAGTGATGGAGGGTGACTTAAAAATTGTATTTTGGTAAAATAGGTGGAAGGAAAGGGAAGGAGAGGGAAGGATTTGGAGGGTTATGTATAGCCTTCTACAGTGATTTGTTTAACCTCCCAAAAATGGGAGGAAATGGAAGGAAAGGGAAGGCAATGGTTGATGTAATATTTGTGATGCCAATTTTACCCTCAAAACAATATACATACAAGTTAGCAGTTGCAAAAAGAATGGAGAGACGGCGGGCAACGGCGAACCCGAATTGGAATAGCGGCGATGGCGAACCCGAAGTGGAACAGCGGCGAAGGAAACTTAAAAGATATGGGTTTTGATTTTCTGAACAATCTGATATACCAATACGGGTTTTGAATTTTTGATTCTTGCAGACAGAAAAATAAACTGAAATATATGGGTTTGGGATTCTTGTAGACAGAAAGATAAACTGAAATATATGGGTTTGGGTTTTGAACTTCTGAATCTTGTATAGAGAGAGAGAGATAGAGAAAGAGAGTTGAGAACGATAATAGAGATGGAGGCCGAGATTGGGGAGGCTGAAATGATTTGCCCTGGATCGGAACCTTCAAGAATGAAGGTCGCTACCGCTGGATTTGGATCGTCTAATTCTTTCTTGATTGACCTTCGTTCAAGAAAGAAATTTTTCTTTCCTTTTCTTGTGGCCTAGCTGCTAATATAGGAGAATATATATATATATATATATATATATATATATATATATAATAGAGATGGAGGTGAGACTAGGGAGATGAAGATTTGCTCTTATTTTTAAAAATATAATAAGGGTATAATAGTAAATTTATTATTATACTTCCCTTTCCATTCTTTTTTCAAACATAATTATTATCCTTTTTTTTTTTTTTTTAACTAACCAAATACAACGGAGGGTTAAAATTATCTTTTTCTTTCCTTCCCTTCCCTCATAACTAATCTTATCTTCTCCTTCAAACTCACCGTACCAAAAATACCCTTAAAGAACGGTGTCCTAACGAAAGTCGAACTCCTAGTTTACCCTTCTCCCGTTGAGACAAAGTGAATCCTCACGTGCCTGGAGTGGAAATGCACGTGACTTAGTAGAGGAGATTGAGAGAGACCAGACTAGTTCCCCGCCAAATGCTAGGTTTTCATTCGGAAACAAACCCTCGAACCAGTAGTAATCAAATTCGCAACAGAGGGAGAAATGGGGGAAAGTGAGAGAGAAATCGAAGTCCGAAGTCTGAGTGGTGAATCAACCACCATATCTCTTCATCCAAACACAACCATTCAAGAACTCAAACTCCTCTTGAAGCAGAACTTCCCTCCCGCTTCAAACTCATCCAATTTTCACCTCTTCTTCAAGGTAAATTCCTCCCCCCCCCCCCCCCCCCCCCTCTCTCTCTATATATATGTATATGTACTATTGAAGTTCCCATTTCTTTCTCAAAGCAACAACTCTCTCTCCCTCTCTCTCTAGATATAATCTTCATTTTTGTTTCCATAATCCTCATTGCTTGGCACTTCATAACTTTTAAAAGTTTCCTCTCTCTTTCAGTTTGCTGATTTAATTATTATTTTTTAAACATGTGACATTGATGCTTTTAGGCTGATTATTTCATCTCTCTGATGTTATGTGTGTGTGTGTGTTTTGGTATGAGTTTTCAGATGATAATTTGATTTCATTTGAATATATATATATATATATATATATATATATATATATATATATATATATATGTAGAGAGAGATAGTTCACATTGCTGATTGTTGTGTAATAATTCTGCAATATTTTTTGGTTGATTCTGTTGTCTCACACCGATTCTCATTGTCTGCTAATTTTGTAATAGGGTGTGAAATTAAGTTTGCACACTCAGATTAGTAGTCAATTGACTGGGTCTGGAGACTTCATAGTTCTTGTTCCATTTACAAAGAAGGAGGATCGGCAACAAATCCAGCAATCCTGTCAATTTGCAACGCCCTCAAAAGATCTGAGTCAATGTTCAGCCTCAAAATTTGCTGATTCAGCATGGTCTGATATGATGCAAGACCTGTCTTCTTTACGGGACATATCAAGCAATGAAAATCAACAGAATATTGAGTCAGAAAGCATGAATTCTGTAGATAGAAATGAATTGAATAGGGGATCTTCTGTTAGTCAGTCTTTGGGGAACAAATGTAAGAGAGGGTTCAACTGCGGTAAACAGGAAGAACACACTGATGACCTTATATTGGGCATCTTGCGATCATCCGAAAAGACTGAACTTGATGAACAAAATTGGCAAAGACTTACTCGGGTTTTGGAGTTGGTGGATTGTTTATCCAATCCAAATTCTGGGAACTGCATGTTAATGGAAGCAAACCTACATGATGGTAATAAGGACTTATCTGCGAATAAGAATAGTTTGTGCGTTTGTCCGTCTTGGCTGAAGACTATTATAAAGGCGTTTTCCTTCTTAAACATTTATTCTGCATTTCGTCAACTGCGACGGGAAGAAATCACATGGACTGGTTTGAAGGAAGCACTGGAACATCTCCATAAATTTGGACTTCAAGTTGGTATTGCTGACCTAGAGCATCTTTCTGTACTTTGTCCTAAGGTAATTGATTGAACTTTCTGAAAAATGTTTCATCAAATCATCTCTGGCGTTTCATATTAAATAAAAAATGTAGTAATTTTACTACTTCTCCCATCTGAAACTTGTAGAATTCTCCGCCTTATCTCCAATTCTGAAAAGATACCTTTAATAAAGAGTGGGGTTTTTAGATAATGTATTTATGCACACATGGGACAAACATAATACGGTAATCTCCGTCTATCATACTTGTTTAATCACATATACTTGCTTTAACTTGTCAAATTCACAAAACAAGGGGCTATAGTTGGTGGCATGTGATCTGATAGCTGTCTAGTGTACTGCAATTGAGTATGCTTCTTTTGGGGGTGGGGGACGGTGGAGGGAACACATAAGTAAATGATCTGTCTCTCATACTGTAATAGCATATTTTCTGTGTAAATCTTCTATGTGTGTTTGGCTGTGCCTGTGATTGTTGATGCTGGCATATTTCCAGGTGTTGTATTTGTCCAACCCCTATAGCTTTAACACGTGGGCCTATATATTTTAAAGGACCAATTTGGAACTCATGTATGAAGTATCAACTAATATAAATATAATGCATGAAGCACTATGAAACACAAATAATTCTATTCGTGATCTGCATCCACTTTGTATTCGTATGCATACATTGTCTAGTGGATACATGTATGATACTTCTTATAAGTATCCATAATTTGGAAGTATCTTTTATTTATTTATTTTGAACATGAATTCAATACTTGTCAAATATTTTGAGGCATATGTTTCACACATTTGAATAGTGAGATGCAGATTTTGTAGTATAGCATTTGTAGCCAAGAAATTAAAACTCGGTGCGACTTGGTGGTCTGCGACCAAGTCAACTAAATATCTTGATGAGCTTGGGAATCATGACCAACTTGGTGCAACTCGGACGGGAAGGCCATGTCATTACCGCCACGGGCCAATATGACCACCCAACTTTTTCCCCAGTTTTTGTCACTTCTCTCTTTTCCAAATGAGTATTTCAGTCCCCAAACATATTAAACAACAGATATACGAACCCAAAAGCAAAGAAACACAAGATATGACAGTAGATCTTCGACAAAGGTTTTCCGATCTGATGAATAATAATTTGGATTGTAATTCTCTTATTTCTATTTTTCAAGTAGATCAGACATGGAAATGTTATTTAACTTAAGTCTAACATATATGTTATTCCATCTTGATACGAATCTTTCTATCTACCAATTTTTTGAATATTTTCAAAAGGGATAAGTAAGTGATTCACAGTCATACAATATGTAAATCATTTGTATATATTTTTAATTTCTGTTTTTTTTTTGTTACCTAACTAATTGATTTTTTAAATTTTTAAAAAAATTACTTGTATAAGTACATTATTAAATTACAAAAGTACCATCATGCATGTTTATTAGACATAAATACTTTGTATCACACATATATTTCTACATCAATATTTTTTTCTATAAAAGGGTGAATAAAGAATCGAATAAACAAATTAGAAAATTATAAAAAAATAGAAATAAATAAATAATTTAGACTGCACATAAATTAGTCTACACAGCATTTTGATAAAAAATTAAATGAAAATATAAAAATTTGAACATATATTCAATAAAATCCATTAAATATATATTTGGTAAATTTTTGCTAATAATTCAACACCCAAAATTTAAGTTATAGTCTACTCATGTTAGAACACCTTTATATTTTTACTTTAGTGTGTTCTTGGAATTCTGGAGTTAAAAGTCATGTATCGGCTCGTTTCGAAAATATTTGTGCAGTTGAAATTTTTTAACAGTAGCATAGATACCATTATGAAGCCTTCGTTACCCCTTGCAGCCACGACATTGTACCTGTGTTGTTTCCTTGATTATAGCATAATGTCACGAGTAATAACAAAGTTCTCAAGTGATTGAACCATTTTTTCTAAGAAGAAGGTTGAGATATAATGAGGGTAAATTATGTTAAATATGGTCGCGAGTCCATCTTCATGCAACATAACTCTTAGTTTTCCATGTGAATTTTAATTATAAGTTAAAAATCATAAATATTGAACAAATTCATGAATAAGATTGTTGGTCATAATATATACTTGTATATCACTTCAAATAATTATGAGTTGTAATTTAGGAGAAACTTGAGAAATGAGTGTAGATGCAATGAAGATCGGGGATCAAGAGATACCAATAGTGAGCAATTTCAGTATCCAGGCTTGTGTTCGTAGAGTGGGATTGCTTGGAGATGATGTTGCTCCAAAGGGTGAACTTAAACCATGGTGGATTCATGTTTCTTTCCCTTTCTAACATCAAGGATTCCAAGTCGAACAGATGGATTCAGTTTCATTGGCATCTCCCTCAATCCATCTTTAGGTAGTCTGCTGCTTTTGTTCTCTGTTTCGTAGTGCTGTGTCTTTGTTGCTTTGATCTGCTATGATGTCATTTTGTTTTTGAGGGTATGCTCCTATTTTCTCTATGCAGTTTGGTTTTATATCTAAATTTTCTTACATGCCGAAAAGAAAAGAAATTAAAGTATGATAGGTCATATGTAGCAGCGCTTCTAGCATATTATGTGATCAACATATATCTTCAAAATTAAAAGATAAAATTTTATGGAAATGTTATAGACTGTTTAAGCTTTAGGAGATAAAATGGTGGCTGCTAATAAATAGTATGTTCCCTAAAATGAGCATGGCTGAACCATAGTTGTTACGATATGATTAAACACAAAAGGATAAAATAAAAATGATTACATTCATGAAATGGTTGTAAACTTGTAGCATTATTTAGAGATAATTGAAATTGACTAGGATGGTTTTCTTTTAAGCAGTAAAGACTAATATTGAACCAACAAGTAAGGGTAATGTTATCCGTATTGAGAGTAATGCTAATTAACATGGATTGATATAGTAAAGAAAGATATGATAGCATATGAGTACTAAAATTAATGCCTTAGAGTAGAATGGGGAAATATTCTTCGTGTAACAAATAGTTGGGACTCGGTTATGTTGAGTTGAGGTTTATACATATGAATATATATTACTTGGTCCGATGGTGAAATTTTGGGTTGTTGAGCATAATAATGGGGACTGAGTCTAAGAGGTACATTGTGCAAAATAATGGCAAAGTTAGGTTTTATCAAGTCCACCCTCCAACATCCAACTAGGTGGGACCAATATAGGTTTATGACTTTTTTTTTTTTGATAAGTAAAATTCATTAAAGGTGCTCAAAAGAGGAGCGCTCCCAAAGAACAAAAGGCGCCCAAGGTGACATTACAATTTCAAGCTATCTACAAAATCCAAAAGAATATCCAAAGATATACAATTTCGCCCATTAACCCAAAAAAAGAGAGAAGATAGTATATTGAATACTCCTCGCCCTTAAAGGATCTCATATTCTTCTCATGCCACAAACCCCTCCATAAACAAAGGGAAGTGGCCCTCCAAGCATCTATGAATCGGGTCTCCTCTGTACACCCTTTCCAAGGCTTTAACATATCCACCGTGGACCCTGAAACAATCCAATCCACACAAAAAATGACCAAGAGCATAGACCAAACATCCCTTGCCACTGGCAGTGCAGCAAAAGATGATTCACAGATTCTCCCGACTTCTTGCACATGCGACACCAATTCACCTCAATTTGATGTTTCCTTATGAGGTTGTCGAGAATGAGAATGCTTCTAAGGGCAACACTCCAAGCGAAGAAAGCCACCTTTAACGGGGCTTTAGTCTTCCATATAGCTTTCCAAGGGAAGGTGGGGCTTGGAGACTCCATGAGGCTTTGGTAAAATGACCTAACCTCAAACACCCTTCCACACTATAACGTCCATACCCACACCCTCCACCACCTGCCTATAAATCAAACCTAAGAAATCTAAGACCTTCAAAAGCTCACAATCATTAAAATCTCTACGAAATTGCACATCCCAAGCCACCCTTCCATTATCGAGCTGATAATGGTCAGCAACCACAACATACTCATTCACAGAGATCCATAATTGATTTTTTTTTTTATTTTTTATTTTTATTTTGAACACATATCCGATACTTCTCAAATACTTCGACCACGTATCTAATACTTTTCAGATACTTCAAACATATTTTTAACAAGTTTTAAACCTTAAAATGTAACTTTTCCAACAATAATTTAATAGTATATTTTTTAAGAAAAGTTCAAAATATAATATTAAGTGATGACTAGGGATGCTTGATTTATGTTTCGTGAAATGAACTCCTATGTTACATTAATGATCGCATATAGATTCATAATATTTTGAAATATTGACCAAAAATATATTTATTTATATATATAAAAATATGATTTATTAATTTTTATTGTCGTATCCCTACCGTACCCGTGTCCTTTTTTTTTTTTTAGATTTGCCGTATCGCCGTACCCATATCGTGTCGTATCCATATCCGTGCTTCCTAGACTACTCTATAAGGGCTTTGTAGTAGCTGTATGCACATAAAAGATAAAGTAAAGAAGATGTCTTGTGCAAGAAATGTTGGAGTGTTTGATACTGACACAGCTTAGGCATTCAAATTTTTTTAGTTGTCCATTAGACACAACGATTGTGACCGCATTAGCAGCTTGTTCTAATTGTACTAGAGTGAACTGCAAACATGCAGGTATCCTAATTCAACTCAGAAATGGTCTTCATTTCATCTATGGACTGGATTATAGACAATTTATGTATGGACAACATATGATTTTTTTGATTTTTTTTTGTGCCCGGGGCGCGCGGGGGGGGGGGGGGGGGGGGGGGGGGGGGGTGGCTGGTTTGAATTATTAGTATTTTTGTTTTTTTTTTTTAATGTAATATTTTTCTTTGTAAAGTATTTCCAGAGGTTGGATCTAAGAAAAAGCATTTCATAACTCATCGAGTGCACAAAATAAGAAGAATATTAGGTATAGGAGTTATATTTGAACTTTTTGTCAGTTTGTCCTTTTCCTTCAAATTTAGATTTTGAAAATAAGACTCAAAAGGACCCAAATTGAGATTTTTACAAGTTTTGGAGGGTCACATATTATTTTTTACTATTTATAGGAATCCTATGTTATAGGAATTTTACAAAAATTTGGAGGGGCCACAAATTAAATCTTTTACTATTTTATAACTCACTATTTGTAGGAGGTGTATCTTTTAGGTATTTTGAAATATTTTGGGGTGCCATCTCTTAAGAGTTCTGCCCTGCCTTCCCTGGGGTATCGCACTAAAAGGATGCAAGTACTTGGCTCCATCATTTAAAAGCTACATATATTTTGCTAATACAAACTGCAAAACTTCTGCCATTTCTAGAAATATGAACTATGTGAGTTATGCGGTGCGGAAGCTGTTAGTTGATTTAGTTGTGATTAACTCCCTAAATGACCTAAATGAGATTAATAGGTTAACTTGCCCAATTTTTGTGATTGATTAAATTACCTAAGCAATATGATCAATTAAACATCCACAATCACAGAGATAAATATTGAAAGGTAAAGCGAGTAAAGTTCAAGAGATGACACTAGGATTTTAGTGAGGAAACCCCATTTGGTAGAATAGACCAATTGGTGTGGGAAAAACCTTGTGGACTGTGCAGTCCAGAGCAAAACGATCCACTATGTTTGAAATAAAGTACACTGAACTTTGACTCAGGCTCACACCCTATCGTTCTACCAAAAACCAATTGTTGACAATCTTCGGCTTTGCGATGTCCCGTCCAACAGCTCGACTCCAGGCTTACTCTTGATCTCTGTAGAAGGATTGCTGGTAGATCAAATAACACTCCACGAATGCTTTGACCCCTTCAAAGTGTGATCGCTTTACCCCTTTTCTTCAAGATTTGAATTTGATGTAGAAGAAATAGATCTGTTTTTCGGAATCTTTGAATCTTCAATTATGCTCCAATTCCAATGAGATAGAGAACAACACAACTAAATCACTCATGTATAAATGTGCGTGTTCTCAAAACAAAAACAGAAAAATCAGAATTGATTTTCTGAAAAATATATCTCAAAAAGGCTTCTTTCAAAATAATGAATTTGTGTTCCAAAAGCCATACCTCAATGTTGAATGAAAGAGAGATTATATAGAAGTTTGGAAGACCTAAGAATACTTGGAAGCCAAGTCAAATTCGTGCATAGCATTTTGGAAGGAAGTCTAAACCAAATAGGAATCAAAACAGACCATAAAGGTAAGTTACCAAAACATATCTGAAGACCTTGAATTGGTTCAGGGTGGTTGAATCGGTTCAAGTTGGCTAGTAAGTTTTTGAAGAAAACAATATAAACTTTCTGTGATACTTGAACTGGTTCAAGTTGGCTAGACTTGAATTCCACCAAAAAGCCTCAAAATTTGAACCTGTTCCAAAATTCTTGAACCAGTTCAAGGTGGGCAGAATGTAAACACTTCTTAAAAACTTGTGTTTCAAACTTTCAAAACTTCCTAAGTCTTCTCACACACTCTCGTACCTTTCTAAAGCATTGTTCTCATCATCTCGGAGTGTATTAAAGCATGAACACTTGAACTTCTTCAAATCCGCTTTCGATCTTCAATCTTGAAATTCTTAACCGAAATTTTACAACTCAATCGGACTTGTTTTGACAACGAAATTAGCCAATTACAAAATATATATCTCACAAACTACACATGCTGAAGTCAGGATTTTATTCTCTGGAGTTGGTTCTAAGAACAGTTGCAACAAATAGTTTTTTCATGCGAACCATATTCTAAATCAAACAACCTCCTTTCCATACTTGTTTCTCTTTTTTTTGTTGGTATAATCAGTTCTCATATGTACTATTAAATCATAATGTGAACTTTTTCATTCTCTAATCCATTATCATACTAGATTGTGATTTTGTGACCTTCACATTATTCAAGCACATATACATACTATTTCCTTTTCAGGTTGTACATTTTGTTAACAATGAAACAGAGGGTACGAAATCACTCAATGTCCTTGTTATTGTCAAATCTTCAACGGAGTGGAGAAATCAAGTTGAGGCAAATCCTTGTACTGGTATTAGTGATGATATATATGTTTATTTCTGCCATTTTCCTAGTTGATTATGATTGCATAGGCATCCAAATGGGTAATACATTGGTTTTTTATTCTTTTTTAATAGCTCTGAAACGTTCACCTATATCGAAGATTGTCAATGCAGTGAAGAAACGGGAAGGTGCATTCAGAACAAATCTGTTGGGGACTGTTAAATTGTTAATGGTAGTTGTACTTCAAATTCTCTACCTTCTAAACTTTCTGGATTCTTTTACTAGTATGCATACCTGTTCTTGACATCTCTGACTTCTTGCGGTCTTTCATATGATGTTTGTTTCCTTAGTGTGCATCAATTTGGAATTTAACCAATGATACAAAAGCTAGTTATACTTTCAATGCCTTCTTTAAGCCTGTCGTGTGATGGTTTGTACTCATATATGCAAGGGTAATAATATATTTTTCACCTTACGATATTAGAGGTTGCAACAATGTACTAATGTATTTATTTGGAAGCTGGTGAGCCATAGTTAAAATTATGTGATTCGTTTACTTTCTTTTCATATCTTTATCTCTCAGATACTTATCAAAAAAAATATCTTTATCTCTCAGATAAAAACGTTGCAGGACTATGCCTCATAGAAATAGTTAATTTGTATACACTGTAGTACTTCTACTTCTCAAAAGTTCAACTCTGTTGAATTGGAAACTTAGGCAGGCCACTGTCTACCTAATTTTGATAGGACTATGACTTAAAAATGAAATTTTTACCCAGGATGCATGATCATAAGAAATCATACTGTTGGCCCCAAGGTTTCAAGCCAAGGGCAACTTGGTAATTTTGATGATAGCAACCTATTAATGCGGGAATTTAAGAGTTTACTCGAGTGTGATGCATTTCAGGATATAATACAAAAGTCAAGTACTATGTAGATCCATGGATTAAATGAACAAGCTTGTATATGGATCAAGCTCATGGCAATGAAACTCAAAGTTGAAGATCAAGTTCAAGACCATGGGGCAAAGGGTTCAGTGAGAGCTAGAATATTTGTAAAGTAATAGTCTGTCGCATGTTGATTTGAAAGCTCAACCCTTAGGAATCAAAATACAGACCTAAGCTGAAAGTTAAATAAAATGTTTTCAGTGGCCTAGCGGTATGAGGCCCTTACTTTCCAAAGGGAAGTCAAGGGTTCAAGCCTCGGTGGAGGCACGTGTGTGTGAGTACAAAAAAAAAAAAATAATATGGTCCTTAAGGAAAAATAACTTAGCCCATACGCTTGAATGATTTTCATGAAAAAGGGGTAATAGAGTCATTTGGGGTCACTATGTTTCACTTCTAGTGCCGAAACACTTTAATTCAAATTTGGGAAGTGAAATGGACGTTGCTTGTTTGTTCAAGTCATCCTTATCTAAGTGATCTGGCCACAACAGTGGATAAGTATGAAAGTACCAGGTACATGCTACAAGATGTCTGCTAGTTTCACGCTAGATGTCTTTCCCTTCTGCAATTGGCAAACAACCTAGAGTGAGAAATCTCAGGTTAGACCAACAAGACATCTACTTGCAAAAGGCAAGACGTTTGCAGACAAAGGATCAGGAAAAGTACTGAAACTCATGACTCTCCGAATAGACCTGTTTCCAAAAAGTCTCAAAAGTACTCTAACACTATAATACAAGGTTCCCTCACCCGTTTGTGTATCACTGTAGCAGAACTGTACATATCTATTGAAAAAGATTTTTGAGCACTTTATTTGAAATATATATATATATATATATATTAAAGCTAAAACAGTTTTGGGGGGAAAACCTTTGAGCAATCTCAGACTTAAGATCTCCATTGAAAATCAATAAGTTGATTCATTCTCTAAAAGTTGGGCTTCAATCGCTTACTTCATCTATTACTCTAGAGAACGAGAGCGCTTTATTGTATATCTTTCTATTGAGAGAAATTTGTAGTGAGCTTCAGTTGTAAAAACTGTCCAGAAAAAGGGATACCATTGTTGACCTGTAAACTGCAATATCTTGAGAGAGATAGAACAGAAGGTTGGTGTAACCTTCTTGAAGTCTAGGTGGGTGCTGCTCACTTAGAAAGGGTTGCTCGCGGAGCAATTGTAAAGCTCATGAAAGAAGAGAGTAAAGATTCCTTCTTCACCCGTGAAGTGAGGTGGTAATTTGTGAATCCTTGAGAGGTGTTCTTAAAGTGAGGATATAGGTAGGGTTGCCGAACCTTTTAAATCTTGGTGTTCTGAGTCTGCATTTCTCTAACCCTAACTCCTTATCTACTGAGCATTGCATACTCTGTTTTTGTGCCGAAAATTGTTAATTTCTGTTAGCACACTGAGCACAAAACTGTCTCACCTTGGTAGCACACAAACACTTAGTTTTCATACTCTGTTTGTGCACAAAGTGATGAGCTCCTGAATACTACTCTTTACATTAAGCTTTCATTAGATATACTCTGTTTTGTGCAACAAGTGTAAACCCAGACCGAAAAGTTGCTAAGCTTGCCTAAAAACTCAATTCATCCTCCTCTTGAGTCATTGTTTGATGAAACAGTGAAGGTCAGTCGACCCACATACCACCCGAGAGTAGATCTATGGCAAGCTCTAGCAGTACTCCTAAAAGGAAGGTCAGTCGACCCGCATACCACCTTGGTTCGATGAAACCAACTATAGTTATTGGAAGGCCAAAATGATGATATACCTTCGGATCTTAGAATATCAAGTGTGGGATGTCATTGAAAATGGACCAAAAATCCCCTTCAAAAATAGATGGAACTCCTAAGCACAAAAGGCAATGGTCTGTGGCTGATTCAAACTTGATGAAATCAATTATAAGGCCATGTCTAACATGTATTACACTTTATGTGAAGATGTGTTCAACATAATTTCATCATGTAAGACTGCCAAAGAAATCTGGGATAAACTTGAAGTGACCTATGAAGGCACTAGTCAAGTTAAAAGGGAACTCCTAAGGACAAAAGAGAATGGTCTGCGGCTGATTCAAAGTTGATGAAATGAATTACAAGGCCATGTCTAACATGTATAATGCTTTTTGTGATGAGGAGTTCAACAGAATTTCATCATGTAAGACTACCAAAGAAATCTGGGATAAACTTGAAGTGACCTATGAAGGCAGTAGTCAAGTTAAAGATACTAGGAGGCTATTTCAAGTGGAATGCTCCTAAAGATGAGCCTTCTAAGAAAGATCCTTTCACTTGCTTCGAATGTGGAAAGCCGAGACACATCAAATCCGACTATCCAAAGCTTAAAAAAGAAAGTAAGGAGAGCAAGAAAAAGAAAATAGCATTCAAGGCTACTTGGGATGATTCCGACGAAAGCTCATCAGATGAGGAATCATGTGAAAATGAGGTGGCCTATTTTTGTCTCATCTCACACGAGAATGAGGTGTATGATTCTCTTGACCCCTCTAATGATGCTCCTTCCCATGAAGAGCTTCAAATTGCCTTTGAAGAGCTACATTTAGAATTAAAGAAAATTGCTTTGAAAAATATAGCTCTTAAGAAAACGAGGAAAGAGATGATTCTTCTTCTGAAATTGAATCCTAAATTGCTCTTGAAAACATTGATTTAAAGAAAAATGTTAAGGACTTAACTACTTCCTTAGCAAAGTTCACAAATGGTACTGAGAATCTTAATGCTTTGCTTGGGAGACAAAAGGTATGCCAATGACAAATCCAGGATTGGATTCAATCCTTTAATCAAGCAAAAATGCTTGGTAACGAAGTTTTTCAAGGTTGTCTCTTCTATTCTCCAAGACTACTTGTGAACATTATGAAGGAAATGGACATAATGCTATTTTATGCAAATTGAAGAAGAAGAGAATTAGGAAGATTTGGAGTTCTAAACTTTCAACTCCTTACTTCTAAGTTTGTAGTTTTATGAATTGACAAAGTCTTGATGTACATTTAACTGATCAAGTTTCTATGGATAATGGGTTTTATAGTTATGTAATGTACATCAAATATACACACACACACACACACACACAACATTAATGTGCATCATGTTGGAGAAGAATTTCTTACCGTATGCTTTGCTTTTTTGTTCTTTATTGTTTGTTTAGTTTATGTATGTGTGTGTGGTTGATGAGTCAAAAACATTCACTAACGATAAAAAGCATAGGAAATAAGAAATAGAAAAAGGAAAGAATTTTCATAGCATATATCTTACCCCAGGATGATTTTAAATATGACAAAGTTTTCTCAATTGGGAATTTAATTTTTCTAAATAAACTCTAAATTTTGTGCAAATGTCGTGCATATGATACTGTTTACGCTCATGAATGATAAAAAAAATAAGAGACAGAAAACTTCATGTGCATATTTACTGCGTGTAAGGTACATTGTACAATGCAAACAACTATTTATCCATTTTAGGCTTTATAGAAGGATGAGGGAACGAGTCTTCGTGATCGCTCATTAGGCACTATAGAAGTATGATGGGAAAGGTGTTTCCGATTTCTCAAAAGGGACATTGAGTTTTACAATGGTTGAGGAACTGAGGGCTAAGGAGTATGAAGAAAAACATGTAATAACTAGAGGTACAAGGTTCTCAGGATAACACCATTTTCTGATGTAAGACTTGAGGTTTCCTAGTGGTCATTGTTTTTAAAGCATTGGTGATGCAGCAGCTGGTAGGGGCGATTCAAGAACAGAATACAAGTAACTAAGAAAGAGGTTAAGATAGAGATTGAGAGAGAAATAGAATAAGAATAATAGGGGAAGAAATCAGAATGAGGGAGAAGAGAAGAATAACAGAGGGGGAAATCAGAATTGAGGGAGAAGAAACCACAATAATTTCTGAATAATAATCAATAATCAATATCAAAAGCTGTCTTTCACAATGTCTAAGGGCCCGTTCGGCATGCGCTTTGTTTTAGGCGTTTTGTTTTTGGCTAAATTAGAAATAGTGTTTTTGCTGTAGGAGTGTTTTGGAAAAAAATCGGAAGTACGTTTGGGAACGATGTTTTGCTATGGAAATGTCGAAAACAGAAACATGAACAGTTATGGTTTTGGGCCATGAACAGTTGTCAAAATAAGAAAAAACAACTTTTTGGTGTTTTGGTTTTGGGCCACTGTTCACGAAGTGTTTTAGCACTGTGTAAAATAAAACAAGGCCGCACCAAACATGCTTTTGTTGCCAAAATCGACGCTGTAGCAGCCCAAAAACAAAAACAGCAGAAATAAAACACACGCATGCCAAACGGGGCCTAAACCAACATATAAATAGGCCTCGAAGAAAAACCCTAAAATTCCTATTACCATCAATAAAACTCTAAAATTCAATAATAATTATAAAAGCAAAAGTCCTAATTCTATCTTTCTCTCCTGCGTCTTCAATAGTAGGTGTGGGCCATATGGACTTCAAGCTCTTGGGCCAGGCCAGTTCTCCATCAATTGGTTATTTTTTTTGTAGATTTTTTTTTTCCTCTTGAATTTCTTCTATTTGATAAATTTTAAGGGAATGCATCAACACGTGCTCACTGCCATTGTTCTTAAACTCTTCACATTTTAATGAAAAAAATCCATTAAAACTTATCGAAATGACTTTGATTTTCTATTAAAATAGGCCAAAATGTAACATAAGCAGCTTTGTTTTCCTACGATTGTTGCTGTTAATAGACAGGTAGGGATCCAGGCTGAAACTCCCCTCCATCAAAGGCACCCCTCCCAGACCTCAAAAAAGAAAAGTGTGTTGAAGTTAACAGCTACTGTTTTTTTTTTCTTCTTTTGAAACCAAATAAGTTATCTTTTCAATTTATTTCACACATAAATCTGCACTGAACTAGGTCCTCTGGATTTTAGTTGTCAATTTTTTGGATTTATTGTTTGTTTTAGTTGTCAATTCTCTGGAGTTATTCTTAAGTGAATCTTTTCGTTTATCTACTTCTCTTTCTTTATTACTGATTAACTAATTGAGGTATTTGAGCAATTTGTTGATTGGTAGGATCTCACAATGCTTTAAATCATATAGAGGACCCTTTTCTGTCCGATCTAGAATCTCCAAATTTGACAACCTTGCCGCGGCATGTACCTGCTGTCATTGAAGCTTGGCAGAAGCTTCTTGCAGTCTGTTTTACACTATTAATGACATAATCCTTGAATTCCTGAGCATGGTCAAGTTGGATTGTAGAGTTAGACCAAAGCAAGATCGTGCTTACCTTTTCCACTTTTTTATCAACCAATGTGGTACTAAATTTTTAAGAACCTTTTATGCACGCTTCAAGCACACAAAATTGAAGGATACAATAAATGGAGGAATTTGACTAGCACACTGGCGTGTTGCCTTTAGCTTTTTCTCTTCCCCCCAACCAAAAAAAAAAAAGAAGATAATTTTTAGTTTTTTCCATTATAGGGGAAGAAATTTTGATTGCCTAATAAATAGAAAGTACAATTTGTGTTTTCCATATACTCTGCATGGGGAGAGGATTTTTCTTGTTTCGAACCAGTGGCCTCCAGGTCACAATGGAGCAACCTTACAGTTGCGCCAAGGCCCGCCCAGACCCCATTCTAGCATATTATTAAAACACTCTAGCATATATATATGTATATATATATTTTTTGTTGCACATTCACAACACATCTTTCATATTTGGTCTGTTGGGTAATCAGAAATGTTTCTATGCAGCGTAAAAGTGGATTTGAGAGTGCCAAGTTCTTTTCCTTGGAAGATCTACTCACATTTGTGAAGGAAGGTGGCACTGTTGCAAGTGAAAATGAAGCCAAACGGGTAAGGAGAAGTTTGGCTTCAGGTTTAGGTTCATCTTCAGGTTCTCATTCATTCGAAGCACGATGTCATGTAGGTATTTTATCTTTTTATTTGTATTTATGTGGTTGGGGTGTTTATTCATGTATCTCTTGTTAGATGCTACAACTGGCTTGTTGGCATGGAGGAAAACAAAGAGAAAGAAAAAGAAGAAATAACTATTAAATTTGAGGGTTCGTAAGTGTTAGCATATATAATATCATGATTTATGGTATGACTTACCATAATAGCAGAGATTTGACTATGCTATAGAATATGCCATAGAATATGCTTTAGAATAAGTTGTGATTTGATTTTGATTTGATTTAGTTTCTTTTTTTGTAATATGAGCATGTGCTCATTTTATCTATAAATACTAGAGCTATGAATGAGTAATTCATATCATTCAAGCCTTTACGCAATTCTCTCCTTTCTCTTCTTTTTATATATTTCTACTTGGTATCAGAGCCAACACCTTTTCACACCTTTCAGCAGCCTTGCTACTTGTGCGACAGCTACCTTAGGCTGTTTGTGACATCGTGTGACATTGCCTACACATGTTTTGCTGTGTTGCTGTTTTGTGGTCGAAAACAGGTATTTTTAAGTTTTACAATTTCTTTTTCACTCTTCTAGGGTTGGGTAAATTGGGATAGTTGGTTTCCAACACCTAGAAGGGCTTGGGTAAAAAAAAAAATTAGTCTACAAAGAGGTTCCGGATATTAAGAAGGAGGCTGTCTGGCTATATGTAAGTGGGCAACGCTCCTTAAAAAAGGTATGTATTTGGATTTTTCGGGAATGGTCTGAGGAGACATTGTTATTGTTTATGGTCTAAGGAGGCCCTTTGATTTATTAACAGAATTTGTGGTGTTTTTGGAGTTTTTTATTGTCGTGTGACAAATTATGGCAGATTCAGGGTCCTCGACTGTTAATCCTCTTGACTCAAGTTCTGTGGGTGGTGGTGCCATTTTTCCCACTAACTCATCAAAAAATCTAGAACTTCAAATCAACACAGTGAAGTTGGATGGTTCCAACTATTTGATTTTGGCACAATCTGCCAAGATGTTCATTGGTGGCAAAGGCAAGATTGGTTATATTACTAGTTCTGAGAAAGAGCCAGTTGAGTCAAAGAAGGCATATCCACAGTGATTTGCAGATAACGCTATGGTTATGTCTTGGCTAGTCAATTCGATGCAACTAAACATTGTTGTTGGCTATATGTTTATGAAGATTGCTAAGCAGATTTGGGATTCAGTTCAACGCACTTATTCTCAGAGGCAGAATAATGCACGAATTTTCCAGCTGGGGCGAGATATCACCAGGATTTCTCAGGGTGACTTGACAGTTTCAGGTTACATCGCCAAGCTTCGTGCTATTTGGGAGGAGATGTCATATTATGATTCCTTCCACTGTTGGAAGGATCCAGATGATGCAGTTTTATATGTAGGAATTGTGGAGAAGAATCGAGTGTTTCAGTTTCTTGCCCGGTTGAACGACGAGTTTGAGTATGCTCGTGTTCATTTATTGGGCTTATCTTCATTCCCTACTCTTGAGGATGCATACTCCTATGTGTTGTCAGATGAGAGCCGCCGGACTCATCCATTAGGTGTTGCTTCTGTTAATCGTTCTGCTATGGCAGTTTGGGTTCCCAACCTTTTAGGAACTTCACCATCCCAGTCAGTTTAGAGCACTACCACCGGTCCTCCTCTGGGACGACGTGGACGGTGTGACCATTGCGGAAAAATTGGTCACATCAAATCTCGTTGTTATGCTCTACATGGACGTCCACCGCAACAGAAACAACAGCCTCGATCCTCTGCACATTCTGTTACACAACCAGTCTCGTTGTCAACTCCTGACAACCCTGCCTCTACATCTTCTACCACAGTTACCTCGACTCAAGCTGATTTGGACAAGTTTAAGCAATTCTTCAACCAAATGGAGGCATCATCTCAGCCAACCTCCACTTATGCCCACTCAGGTACTATTGAGTCTGCATATAGCGTATCTACATCTTCAACACCATGGATCATTGATTCTGGTGCTTCAGACAATATGACTGGTATGTCCTCACTTTTCTAATCTTATAGTATCTGCTCTGGCCAACGCAAGGTCCACCTTGCGGGTGGGTCTCCATCTTCCATTGCTGGGAAGGGTCACATATCAGTTACTCATTCATTAACTTTGTCAAATACACTTCATGTTCCAAAGTTGACTACAAATCTTATTTCTGTTAGTAGCGTTACCAAACAATTAAATTGTAGTGTAACGTTCTTTCCCTCTCATTGTATTTTTCAGGATTTGGTGTCGAAATAGACGATTAGCAGTGGGCGTGAAGTGGACGGTTTATACCTGTTGGATGCTCCTTTGTCACCTTAAGCACATTCAACTTCATTTTCTAATATCGTTTCATCTAATAAAGCCCAGCTTATGCGTTGGCAAATGCGTTTAGGACATATTTCTTTTGGTTATTTGAAACATTTATTTCCTTCCTTATTTTGTAACGTGGTAGTGTCAGATTTATCCTGTGAAACATGTCATATGGCTAAACATGTTCGTTCCAATTATCTTGCTAGTAGTAATAAATCTGCTTTAACACCTTTTGATTTTGTTCATTCAGATGTGTGGGGTCCTTGCCCAGTTACTTATAGTCTTGGATTTCGATATTTTGTGTTGTTCATTGATGATCATAGTCGTGTTACTTGGGTTTATCTTATGAAAACCAAAAATGAGGTATACACCATTTTTAAAAATTTTATGACAATGGTTCAGACTCAATATGGTCGTACCATTAAAAAATTCAGATCTGACCAGGGTACAGAGTACACTTATGGGGAGGTACAACGATTATGTATAGAATTTGGGATTGAGCATCAGATTGCTAATGTTAAAACTCCTCAACAGAATGGTCGTTCTGAGAGAAAGAATCGCCACATCTTTGACTTAGCCAGAGCAATCTGCATTGGCATGAATGTTCCCGAGTCATTTTGGGGAGATGCAGTTCTTACCGCTGTTTACATCATTAATAGGACTCCTTCTAAGATTCTTAACTTTGCAGCCTCACTCTCAATCTTACATCCTAATTCATCTATTTTTTTGATTCCTCCGCGAGTCTTCGGGTGTGTGTGCTTTGTTCAACAGTTGGGGTAGACTTGTACAAAGCTTGACCCCAAGGCTTTGAAGTGTGTGTTTTTGGGCTATTCTCACTCTAAAAAAGGTTATAGGTGTTACCATCCTCCCGGTCGTCGGCGGTTATATCCATGGATGTTTCTTTCTTTGAGCATACACCACACTATAGTGGTTCAGTTGGTTCTCAGAATGAATGGTTCCCATTGAATATAATGGATGATCACCTTCTTCCGTCTTCAACTCCTCTACCATTACCTATTTCTTCTTCTATAGTTCCTCCTCGTAATACCCCTCCAGTAGGGGGAATTGTTCCTTTTTCACAGGTTTATAGTCGGAGACAACAGGTACAAGCTTCTACTCCTACGATCGACTGCCCTGTTCCTTCGGCACCAGCTCCGCCTTCTCAAGCTATTGTTTCGCTTGATGATCGCCCCATTGCTCTTCGCAAGGGTAAACGTTCTTGTAATTACCCTATTTCTAATTTTGTTTCTGATTATGCTCTCTCACCCTCCTATCGGAGTTTTCTTGTTTCTGTTGCCTCGGTTCCTGTTCCTTTTAGTGTTGCAGATGCACTAGCACAACCTCAATGGCGTGATGCTATGACAGAAGAACTACAAGCACTTGAGAAAAATCAGACTTGGGACATGGTTCTGCTTCCTATTGGACGAAAGGCTGTGGGTTGTCGTTGGGTGTTTACAGTTAAGCATAATCCAGATGGGTCAGTTGCTCGTTACAAGGCCCGATTGGTTCTAAGGGTTATGCTCAGACTTATGGCATAGATTATCGGGAGACTTTTGCCCCTGTTGCCAAGATGAATACCATCCGTGTATTATTTTCCGTTGCTGCCATTCGATCTTGGCCTCTATTTCAGTTAGATTTCAAGAATGCCTTTCTCAATTGTGATTTGCAGGAGGAGGTGTACATGGTTCCTCCTCCGGGCTTTCGTTCTCCTTCTCATTCTGGTATGGTATGCCGTCTTCAATGTTCTCTGTATGGCCTCAAGCAGTCTCCTCGAGCTTGGTTTGATCGCTGTGGCACTGCTATGCTCAAGTTTGGTTTCAATCAAAGTGCAGCTGATCATACCTTGTTTTTACGTCATTCAGGCGATAAGACGGTTGCTCTCATTGTGTATGTCGATGATATTGTTCTTATTGTCGATGATACTACCGGAATTGATGAGATTAAGAGTTATCTCGGCCGTCAGTTTGAGATTAAGGATCTTGGTCCCCTACGGTACTTCTTGGGCATTGAGGTGGCTCGCTCCAAGACTGGCATTTTCATCTCTCAACGCAAGTATGTTCTTGACTTGCTTTCTACTTCTGGGCAGCTTGGCGCTTGTCCTGCTGATACTCCGATTGAGCAAAATCATCGGTTGGCTGATTCTGAGGGGGAATTGTTATCAGATATTGGTCAGTATCAACGACTTGTGGGGAAGCTCATCTATTTATCCATGACTCGACTTGACATTGCTTATGCCGTGAGTGTCGTGAGTCAATTCATGCACTCTCCTTGTGCCCCTCACCTTGATGCAGCTATTCAGATCTTTCGCTACTTAGAAAGGTGTCCAGGCCGTGGTATTTTGTTTGCCAATCATGGTCACTTACGTGTTGAGGCTTGGACAGATGCTGATTATGCAGGATCAATTTCAGATAGGAGGTCTACTTCAGGTTATTGTACGACTATTGGTGGTAACTTGGTTACTTGGCGCAGTAAAAAGTAGGATGTTGTCTCTCGATCTAGTGCAGAGGCAGAGTATAGGGCTATGGCTCTTGGGGTAGGTGAGTTGCTTTGGTTGAAAACCTTGATGACAGACTTGTGCCTTCCAGTGTCACTTCCATTCTCACTCTACTGCGACAACAATTCTGCTATTAGCATAGCAGCAAATCCCGTTCAACATAACAGGACTAAGCATATAGAGGTGGACCGTCACTTCCTTAAAGAGAAGATCATCTCTGGTCAAATTTGCACTCCATTTGTCACAAGCTCTCAGCAGCTTGCAGACATTCTTACAAAGGGCATCAGCAAGATTGTGTTTGAGAATGCATTGTCCAAGTTGGGCGTTTCAGATATCCACGCACCAACTTGAGGGGGAGTGTTGGCATATATGATACCACGATTTATTGTATGACTTACCGTAATAGCAGAGATTTGACTATGCTATAGAATATGCTTTAGAATAAGTTGTGATTTGATTTAGTTTCCTCTTTTGTAATATGAGCATGTGCTCATTTTATCTATAAATACTAGAGCTGTGAATGAGTAATTCATATTATTCAAGCCTTTATGCAATTCTCTCCTTTCTCTTCTTTTTATATATTTCTATAAGTTTGGATGGCATTCTATTTTACCTGACTTGTGAATGTGTAGTGTTTTCCATGCAATGTACTTGTTGCATCGAATCCCATTTTGATCAAACTTGTTTTACTGTACTTCATTTCTATTATGCCTTGAGAGATCTGATATCAAATGTTTCGGAGCTTATCAGGATTTAGATTCCCTTCATATGAAACGAAAGGGCTACAATTAGAATGGTAAGGTGGCATGGATTCTTACAGTTAAATAATTGTGAATAGAATTTTATTCTGTTTTTGTTCTGTATAGGACTTTGTCTTTCTAGAGTAGCTCATTGCTGGTTTTTTCCTCAATTCATTTCATAGTGTTGCAAGCACCTTACTTCTCACAATTTCTGTGTCTTTAATACAGTTACATTCTGTTACCCCCTCTTAATAAAGAATTTATGCATAGTGGGAGTTGTGAATAGTGTTGTAGAATCATAATTTTGTGAAATTACTTCATTTTCTTAATTCCAAGAAAAGTAGCATCCGAGCGTGGGAATTTTACTTTGTAGAGAATCTATGGGTGGTGGGAGTAATGAATAATGTCGCAGAATTAGTATTGTGTGAAATTTCTTTATTATCTTGATTTTAAGAAAAAGAAGCATGGGAATTTTAGGAGGAACATGGAAACACCAAAGAGGGGATTGGCTTTATATGGTAGTATATATCCAAGAAAATGACGAATCTATGCCAGATCCTGTAAAGTATAGTATAATGTGTTGGCAAATTTGTTTCAACAAAACTCTATCGAGTTATATTTTAGTTTTTGTTGAGACGTGTCCAATAAAAGCTTCAGGACCATGTACATTGTCAAGCAAAGTGAAGTTCTTTGACCTCACGAATGATCAGTGGTCACAAAATGAAAGTTATGTCAGTGATGTGAGGCCATGGTCCCTCCTAGCCTCCTCTAGCTCCGACTTGTCCTCTCCAGTTATTTTTGACCAAGACTCACGCCAAACTCTGCTATTGCGTTCCTCACGCGATCCGCCCTTCCTCTGGCCCTTTGTACAAACCTTGATGTTGTGTGGAAATTCCTTGCAGTGTTGAAACCCTTGTCGCTCTAGGATTGTTCATGCTCAACACTCCAAACACACTAACCATCTATTTGCATGGATGATGAATGAAAGAAACAAAGTCTAGAAATTAGATTGCTAGGATGAACTTAGATATGTCTCACAATTTATGTTCTAGGTATGCTTTGTGTTTTCTTTTTTTACTTTGCATATTATTGAGAACTGGAGGATGTTTCGTAAAGCTTGGAGGTTAAAAGAGATTAGGGTTATTTGAGTTCAATCGAAAACGAGTTCAATCAATTGAAACTGGGCCAGGATATTCCCCTATTCTTTGTACTTCAGGATTTCAAAAACGAAACATTCTAAAATTATGCATTCAACACATTATTTTGAAGATCAAAGCATGAACTTTGAAATCCCTAACATGTTCAATGATCCCTAATATTGGTGAGTGCACATTTTAAAAGTTAAAGTTCTTTTTAGCTCTTGCTTGAGGCTTTGAATTTCTGTTTTTCCCTTGGACCAGTTTTAACTCAACTAACTTTTGAAACAATATTAATAGTTGAAATAAACCATTCAGACTTTTTTTTATTTTTTTTATTTTTAAATTTGCCCAGTCCTATTGACCTCCAGTGTTGATTCACAACAATAGTTTGAGGGATGCAGCAGTTGGGTCTGAAGGCACTTAGTGGTTACTGGTGCTGAATTTGAGGTGTTGGCAGCATCTAAAAGTCTGATTGAGGGTCTGTCTGAGTCAGTACTCTTTGTTGTACTTCTTAGTATTTCATTGTGTATTTTTCTTGTCAGACCTATAGCTTTTCTCGATTTTGGTTTTCCACGTAAAAGATCGGTCTTGTCTCTTGTAATGGTTACTTTATTTATTTGTTTTGTGTGCTTATTAACACATGAACTGAAGCAAGTTAAAAAGATCAAAGGAGACCCTCCATCTGATCATTCAATGGTGATTTGTGTGCACCCCCCTCTCACAGATCCTTGACTAACCAAGATTATTAGTGTTAGTCTGTGCTGTTCAGATTAAAATTTTTGTTGTCCTTTAATTATTCAATCCCGTATTTATTTGGATGAAGTCCAAGGTGTTCTTCCTAAAACTTTTTCATTTAGCAGGACACAAATCAATTGCAACCTATGGAAATGGTTGAACATCTGAGAAGGGGCATTGGATCTCAAGGGCAGGTTTTTTTTATTTATTCTCTTGTTCTGAAATTAGTTCTTTTTTTTCCTTTATATTTTTATTTTTATTCTATATATATATATTGAAGGGAGTGGGGGTAGGGGAAGGAAACTGACTGTCCAACTCAAGGGACCTCTTTTGACCTGGTGGCCTCACACTTCAAATAAAAATCTATATATATATATATATATATATATTCTTTTAATCTGCTATACATATGCTAATCAGGCCATTATGGCCACGGTAGAACCTTGGAATGCCTATGTCTAGAATTTTTTTTTTTTTACCCTTCAGTAGTGTCTAGAACAATTCTAATGTAGAAGGCGATGCCGATGGGACACTGTTCTGTGCAGGTGGTGCATATTGAAGAAATCAGTGCCAGGGTTGCCAACCATGTCGAAGTACCAAATGAACTTTCAGATAACACAAAATCTGCTCTTAAATGTATTGGAGTGACTAGGTTATACAGCCACCAGGTACAAATGTTGTCTTGAACTTGTCCTTTCCAAGATAAATCTAATAGTGTTCTTTTTTGTGGTATCTGTAGGCTGAGTCAATTCGGGCTTCCCTCACTGGCAAGAACATAGTTGTGGCAACAATGACATCCAGTGGAAAATCTCTTTGCTATAATGTTCCAGTTTTGGAAGCATTGTCCCAAAATTTGTTAGCATGTGCTCTGTACATGTTTCCGACAAAGGTTCATAACAAAAGATCTCGTCTAATTTTGATGTTTCATTCCTGGTGTTGTGTCGTTGGTTTTACAGAATTCACTAGAGCACAAACTTTGTATTCTAATTAATTTTTGTAAGATTGTTGTGTTTTTGGTAGGTCTTTATATGATCCAAATTGTCATCATGCAGGCCTTAGCTCAAGATCAACTAAGAGCATTGTTAGCCATGACAAGAGGATTTGATGCTAACCTGAATATTGGTGTATATGATGGGGACACTTCTCAGGCAGACAGGATGTGGTTGCGTGATAATGCTAGATTGGTATTTTAGTTAAGTTTTGGTTGTTTTAGATAGGATATTTTTCTTTAGCTGGCCAGCTCACCTTATATTATACTGATTTATTTATCTGCTCATGTTCAGTTGATCACAAATCCTGATATGTTACACATGTCAATCTTGCCATTTCATGGACTTTTCCACCGAATTTTATCAAATCTTAGGTAATGTTTGTTGATCATCTCTAATTTTACTCACCACATGACTAAAAGAGCATTATTTTTGTTACTCTGCTAACCCGATTCTGATGGGTGACGAGGGAGGTAGGTATCTTTCATTGGATGATACTTTGGAAAAGTGTTAGGTCAATAATACTTAGGTTGACTAATTTCGTTACAAAAGCTTGATTCTATACTTTGTTTAACCTTTAGATAATTTCTAGTTAGAGTGAGTTAGTTACCTCAGTCCAAGGGCTTATTTGGAAGTAAAAGCTATATTTCAAGGGCAACAAAGTAAATCCAACACTCATACACTCACCATTAGGGTTCATGCATTCATCAATTGTGTTTGAAGTGCATAAGCTTGTTTTTGGAAGCTGTCTTAAAAAAAATCCTAAAAATGGAGCTGGTTGATCGATCAAAAGCCACTGCCTATTTGTCGATTGACCAACACTTGGCTTGATTCGGTTGAACTCTGTGAATGTAGTTTTCATATAGAACTGAATCTCTTTCAAATGTAGTCTCTATAGGCTTTCAAACTCCACATAGAGACCACCCATGTTAAGAAAACAAATGCAAGCTATCTACCATTGTCTTTGTGCATAGTTATAGCATGTAGAGCATAATTATGATTGCATTGTAGCAATTCTTTGCCAAAGCTTTCTTTCTTTCATTTTCATCATTGCATCTAGTACTATGATTTTGTGTTTGAGGTGATGGTCATCAATACTGTTTTGCTTGCAAAGACTTCAACACCAAAGTAGTTTTGCACAACAAACACATTGCATGGACGACTAGCCATGTAGATCAATGTGCTTGTAAAGAAGCAAATTGCGGGAGGAGCGAATACTGTTAAAGGAGGAGTATCCTGGAGGCTCGAGTGAAGTGTTTGGTTCCAAGATGTAAACGGAGGTTTTTAGGGTGGAAAACTGGTAACCTAGTTGCATAATCTCTCTCTTTCCTCATAGTGGATTTGATCTACTTGAACTAGGTCCCATGTTTTTTTTTTCTCTTTGGGGTTTCCATATAAAAGATTTGCATGTTCATTGAGGGATTGTTGTGTTTCTACTTTACAATTTTTTGTAGGCTTTCAAACATGATGACTAGATTGATTTACATGCTTGCAAGTTAGTTTAATTTTCTGAATTGTCATTGAAAGGGCTAGCTCAGTGCAAAGGGCTTCCGCCATTGTAGGGTCTGGGAAAAGTCAGATGTATGCAATCTTACCTCCGCATGGAGAGGTTGTTTAATTTTTTGAATTGTCATTATAGTAGTTAAAATCTAAAAAATCAGTTAAAAAACAGTTCATTTGGTAATTAAGACCTACTCACCCCCCTTAGTTCTAGGTTACATTCTTTATTTTTTTGGATAGTTGAGTCTCACATTTTGTCTGGTTGATCGTTCTGTATATTTTTGGAGATATGAGCTTAGTCTTTGGTCATTTTTATAGTTCGTTTATACCTCACATGTATACCTCACGTGTACATTGGTCGCCTTCCCAATTCATGTGCTCTTAGTGATATCTTTACTTTGAAAAAAATAGTCGTATTTATTACGTCTATATTTGTTATGTAAGGAGGTTTTCCTTGTATTCTTATTTATCAGGTTTGTCATCATTGATGAAGCCCATGCTTATAAAGGAGCATTTGGTTGTCATACTGCTCTTATATTTAGGAGACTTCGCCGGCTCTGTTCTCATGGTACTATTTTCCTTGTATTGTTTATGACACAGATGAGGGATTTTAGTTTTATTCAATTCTTCCTTCTTTGAATTAAAATATACCTTCACAGCTTGCTTGTTTGTGCAGTGTATGGTAGTGATCCTTCTTTTGTATTCTGTACTGCAACTTCTGCAAACCCACGTGAGCATGCGATGGTAAGAATTTTCATAAACAAATCACAGTGTACTCCTACTATTTGTGGCAATGTCGAAGTTTTTGTTTTTGGCGATGGTTGACTTCAATGGCCATACTCGAATCCTTGGCTTTGTCAATAATAGATAAACGGTTCGGATTGGATCAGTTTTTTAGAATAATTGGAACCGATTCAGGTCTCACGGTTCCAACAAAATTGTAACCGATCAACATTTACCTCTGTTATTCAACTATTCTTCGAGTTCCTCTGGTTCTTGTTTTTTCTACGAAACTTAATCTTTCAGCATCGCAAATTCAAGAACTTCTTTTATTATGCCGAGGCCAAAACAGATCAAGACTAATGTTTCGCCAACAAAACCTTATTATTAAAGTGACAGCAGGCTTTTTCCCTAGTTCTCGTGGATTACGCCAGGGGGATCCTCTTTCCCCCTTTCTGTTCATCATTGTTATGGAGGCCTTTAGTAGATTGATGGGGAGGACGGAAGAGCTTGGCTTTATCCAAGGATTCTCTATGGGTAGACTTCCCAATCAGCTCACAATCTCTCACTTGTTTGCGGATGACACTCGTTTTTTGAGGTGCTAGAGTTGATCAGCTGAGATACTTGAGATGTGTGTTGGCTTGCTTTGAAGTTGTTTCCGGACTGAAAATCAACATTGGGAAGAGTGAGTTAGTCCCAATTTGGTTGGTGTGCCTTGTCGAGGAGGATTTCTGTTTGGGACCCGGTTGTTGAGAGATTTGAAAGGAGGTTGGCGGGTTGGAAGAAATAGTACTTGTCGAAAGGGGGGAGAATCATGCTCATGAAATGTACCCTTTCAAACCTCCCTACTTATTTTATGTCACTTTTTCCGATGCCTAAGATAGTGCTCCAAAGGCTTGATACAATTCAGAAAAAATAGTTGTGGGGTGGTGTGGGGGATGAGTTCAAATACCATTTAGTGAAGTGGGAGAGTCTGTACCCCTATTTCAAATGGTGGTTTAGGGATCCAAAGGTTGGATATGTTTAATAAGGCCTTGTTGGGCAAGTGGCTGTGGAGATTTGGGAGAGAGGACAAAATTATGGAGGTGGGTTGTCTCTTGTCATTTTGGGGAGGGAGATGGAGGGTGGCTTTCTAGGGAGGTGAGAGCTCCAGCGGGTATGGGATCTTGGAAACTCATTCGGAAGGGTTGGGATGAGTTTTCCAAACGCATCCAGTTCAAAGTTAGGAGCGGGAGGCACGTCAGATTTTGGGGGGATCGATGGAGTGGGGACTTTGTGCTGGCTTGTATATTTCCTCGTCTTTTCAGGATTGCTGTGAATAAGCATGTTGTAGTTGCTGACCGTTATCGGCTTGATAATGGAAGGGTGACTTGTGATGTGCAGTTTCGCCGGGAGTTGCATGATTGGGAGCTTTTGGAGATTTCAGATTTTCTTGCTCTGATTTACAACCAAGTGGTGGAGGGTGTGGGTATGGATGTGATGGTGTGGGAGGGGTCATTGAGAGGGGTGTTTGAGGTTAGATCTTTCTACCAAAGTCTTATGGAGACCCCTGGCCTTTCCTTCTCTTGGAGAGCTATTTAGAGGACTAAAGCACCCTTGAAGGTGGGTTTCTTTGCATGGTTAGCTGCCCTTGGAAGTATCCTCACTCTCGACAACCTCAAAAGAAGGCGCCAGGTTGTAATGAACTGGTGTTGCATGTGTAAGAAGTCGGGGGAATCTATGAACCACCTTCTAATTCATTGCCCTATGGTGAGGGACATTGGGCTATGTTCTTGGCTGCCTTTGGTGTGGCTTGGGTGTTCCTTGAGTCCACGGTTGATTTGCTTGAGGCTTGGAAAGGGTGTATAGGGGAGAGCAGAGTCAGAAATGCTTGGAGGACCACTCCCCTGTCTTTGATGGGGCTTGTGGCGTGAGCGAAATAGGAGATCCTTTGAGGGGGAGGAGTCTCCTATTTGGTCTCTTAAATACAATATTTTGTCTTCTTTATTTTTTTGGGTTAATGGACGAAACTGTATATCCATGGATAGACTTTTGGATTTTGTTGATAGTCTAAAGATGTAATGTCGCTGGTAGCGGCTTTTTGTTCTCTTGGGAGCGCTCCCCTTTTGAGTGCCTTTAATGATTTTTACTTATCAAAAAATAAAATAGTTGGCCATCATCGGTTTTTGTGTATTTCCTTGGGAGTGCTCCCCTCTTGGGCGCCTTTTAATGAAACCTTACTTATAAAAAAAAAATTATAATAGGCAAAATCATAAAGATTTGAAGAATGAGGAAAGTTTGATTACGTCAAAATTGAGAGCCTTTAAGATTTTCAACAATTTGAAGAAGGCGAAACAACTGATCTCATTGGTTCACCGTCTCACTCACTTTTTTGAGACTCTGTTTATAATGGAATTGGTAAGAAGAAGATGAAGAACGGTTTGAGCTGAATTGAACTTTACCACAATCTGAATTTGAAGAGGAAATCGAAGTCAATACAACACAAGATGGTAAATGATGGATGGTCGGCCGGAAAAGATAGTGGATGGCTGCCGGAGAAGACAGTGGATTGCTGCCAGAGGAGATGCGGATGACTGCCGAAGGCAGAGAGTGAGTAGTTGAGGGCTTTAGGTTTATTGTTAATGCCTTAATGGGCTAATAATTGAGAACGTTGTATATATGTATGTGTTGGGTAATTTAGAAAATAGTATATTATATATATAATACATATTATATATAATATACTATTTTCTAAATTACCCAACACATACATATATACAACGTTCTCAATTATTAGCCCATATTATATATATAATATTTAAGTTGGGTTTTGTTGCCAAATCTGTGAACCGAACGGACCCGGGCGGTTGCCTATTCTTCGACCCGAGCCCAAACTCGAATTGATAATCATGTGAAACCGAACTACATGGATCGAATCGGGTTGGATCCACAGTTTGGTGGTTCTGCTGTTCTCAGTAATACACTCACCACCCTCTCAGCCACCAGTTCGTGAGGAAATAGACGAATTCAAATTCTCATGGTGGTACCCTTCTAAGATCGTTCTATATGAAATTCCATACTTTTAGGTGTGCAGAGTAACATTAAAAAAGAGGTCTATGATGATTTGTTAGCAATCATACTAAATTTTTTTAATACTCATCAATATTTTAAATTTTATCTATCTTCTTTTTTTTAATAACTTTATTATTATTTTTTTTCCTGATGCTTTAGGAGCTCGCAAATCTGCCAACAATGGAGTTGATTCAGAATGATGGTAGCCCTTCTGGTCCGAAACTTTTTGTCCTCTGGAATCCTCCTTTATGCCTGAAAACTGTGGGTTCTTAGATGCTACTCTGGTTTTCTATCATTCAGAACCACTTTAGATTAGGAATATTTCTTTACCTACTTTGCTAACTCTACCAGCTTACAGGTTTCAACAAGTAGCATGGACGCCAACAAATCTTCTGATAAGAATGTTATTTTCAGACGCTCAAGGTAAGAAATCCCATATGTTCATAGTCATGGAAAGTTTTGGGGCATTGACTTCTCTATTATCTGTCATGAAATTCTAGTCTTTATAGCTGTTTGTAAGCTAGTGTAGTGTGGATCCAATGGTAAGTAATTTTTCTTTTTTTTTCTTTTTTTTTTTTTTTTTTTTTTTTTTTTTTTTCTGATTGTAGTTTTGTAAGTCATTTAGAGAATGATACTTTTCATCCTTGGAATAAGCAGCGTGAGCTATTTATTCTCTGAACATAATTTCTATTAACTTCAGAGGGATTTTGAAAGAAAATAATTAGTAGGACTCAATTTTCTTGCTGTAATTTGTTTATAGAGTGATGCAACACAAACAAGGAATGAGATGGTATGGGGAATCTGTGAAATACTCTTGAGGTTTATTAAGTTCTAAAAATATTGATGGATAAAAGGATTAACCAAAGTAGTGCATACAAGTTTGTAATACCGCATAATGAACAAGTTGAAGAAGGCCGTAAAGGCCGTTATCTAGTTTTGGTCCCGCAAATGAAGGGTACTAAAGGGATGGATTAGATTCGGACATGGCTTTATTATTCACACAAAAATGGCTATTCTCAAACTCACTGCATTATGTTTGACTACCCGAGTTTTTTATATTAGAAAATACAAGATAGAAGAAGTACAAGAGAAATATGTAAAGGCTTGAACGAGAATTCTCATTCATTCACAGCTCTGGTATATATATACTAAAAGAGCACATGTTAAATATTACAATAAAGGAAACCAAATTAAATTGCAGATTCTATGCCTAAATATATGCGTAAATAAAGTCAAATTCCATGATTCTATGCTATCATATCTCACTAATATAGTAAATCACATCCCATGATTCTAGGCTATCATATTTCGGCTAACACTCTCCCTCAAGTTGGTGCATGGATATTTGAGACGCACAACTTGGACAATGCATCCTCAAACATGGTCTTGTTGACGCTCTTCGCAAGAATGTCTGTAAGCTGCTGAGAGGTAATGACAAACAGAGTGAAAATTTGACTAGAGATGATCTAGTGAAAATCTGACCAGATATGATCTTTTCTTGAATGAATTGTCAGCCAACCTCTATATGCGTAGTCTTGTCATGCTGAACCGGGTTTGCTGCAATGCTAATGGTAGATGACTTGTCACACTAAGTGAGAATAAAAGTGACACTGGAATGCACAAGTCTGTCATCAACGTTTTTAGCGATGGCAACTCACATACTCCAAGAGCCATAGCCCTATACTCTGCCTCTACACTCGATCAAGAGACAACATCCTACTTCTTACGGCGCCAAGTAACCAAGTTGCCACCAATAGTAGTACAGTAGCCCTGAAATTGATCCTGCAAAATTAGCATCTGTCTAGGCCTCAATTTGTAAGTTACCATGATTGACAAACAAAATACCGTGGCTTGGACACCCCTTCAAGTAGTGAAAGACCCGAATAGTTGCATCAAGGTGAGGGGTGCGAGGAAAGTCCATAAATTGACTCGCAACAAAAGCAATGTCAGGCTGTGTCATGGATAGGTAGATGGGTGTGGAGGGAAAATTCCGCTCCAGTAGACATATACGCAAATAACAAGCCAACATCGGAGTGACATGTGGATAGACCATAGGAGGGAAGAAGCACAGGCCCATCAGCTTTGGAGGACTGACCCGATTGAAGCAAAGAACCCAAAGTGAAAGAGTTGGATCAAGCTCACCGGTCCCGTAGGCCCAGTTCACGTGTGGAAGAATCCAAGCCCAATACCGAAGCAATAATCATGCATGGGAAAGGAAATTGTAGACTTGTGTACTAAGTAAAAAATATATGTGAGTTAATAAAGACCTGATAGGAAAGAAATACAGAGAAGGAAAGAGCTTGGTGGACAAGCAATGCGAGTCCTACTCAAACTTAGACATTGTAAATCAATATAAATAGGGGCTTAAACCCCCAATAAGATGCATGAGCAAATTCAACAGAGCTCTTCTGACACAGTTTTTGTTCTTGTCTTCTTCTTCTTCTTCTTTTTATTTTTTTTATTTTTTTATTTTATTTTTTTTTAATTGTTGTGTGTGTTGCATTAATTGTGTTGACCATTATTAACTATAAACACCTAACAACAACCCCCATCCTATCGTTTAACAGGAAGCGGAACCATGTCCCAAGTCTGATTTTTGCAACACTAGAAGGAAGAGGAACAGAGCCAACATAAATAAGAAAACCTTGATTGGAGGGTGAGAGAGCACAATCAGAAACAAAATTTGAAATAGGGTAAGTGCAAAAATGTTTACACTTTTGAAGAGTAGTGGGACGATCATTAAGCGGAACAATAGCTTGAAGGTGGAGTTTGTGCCGAAGAGATAGGGGCAGTCGGTTGTGGGAGTAGAAGCTTAAGCTTGTTGCCTGTGAAAGGAACAATTCCCTTATTGGTAAGGCAGTTGAAGAAGAAACATGAAAAGGTAAAGGTAAAGAGTGTTACAACTAGTCTAGTTCACTCACTATGAACACTAGCTAACCTCCAGACTCAGCAAGATACCAGACTTTCAATGCTCGTTCACCCTGCCGTTGATTACTCCCACCCGTTTCATCCAACGCCGTACTAAAGCACTCCAGAAAGTCTCCAGCTATCCTCCAACCGATCCATCTAACCATTACATGATCCCATTGATCCATATCAATCCCACCATGCACAACTTCTTCATCTCAAACTTGTTCCGTCAACCAATCCTTTCACCACTTTGTTTTTGGTCGATTTTGGCTTTGTGAATATGCACTTCTTGGCCTTGTGTTGATGTTGAACTTTCAGCTTATATCGCAGCAATATTATAATGAATACATTATAATCACCGTATCTAATGTAGAGTACATGATATGTGTGATTGATGCAAAAACAAATAACACATGATATATAAGGTGTATGTATATATATCAAGTGTGGTGCCCTCAACACGCATAAGAAATATCTCTCACACAGACTCTCTTATGGATACACAGAAGTAGAACTCTCACACAGAACACTCATGGATAAATTAAAAAACAAACGAATGCTTTTAGCAGAAAGCACTTGGGGCTATTTCATTTGAGAGATGCAGCTTAATGATGCAAAGCACACTTTGTCTGTATTTAAGACTTATTATATATAGAGAACAATTCTTGTTTCAAATGATGTGGTCTCCAAGTAAACTTGTTTTCCAAGTTGTGAATATGATACCAATAAAAAATATAATATAAAATTATATTTTATATATAAGAAAAGATATTTAGAAGAATATATATATATTTTAAAGTATATGCGTATCTTTTCTTCTGAAAACATTTTAAACTTGACCTGCTTACTATTTTAAAATAATTAAAATGATCAAGTAAACTCAATTATAGAAATTAAGTTTTATCCTTAAAATGCTTCTGTCGATCTAAGTAATTGAGCCTTTGATCGATCGAGATATGCTAAGTTCGATCGATGTCATTGGTGTAGCATGTCGATCGAAGTTGTAAAGGTGTCAATCGATCAAGAAGTGCTAGGTTCGATCGAGATAGTAACAACTTGCTATTTTCGACTTCATTGACTAGTGACCGACTTAAAATAATTATTCATGTGTTTTAAGCATAGAAAAACGTGCATGAAGGTTCTGGAATAATATTTTCTTGATGCACACTGATATGTAGTATCTAAGGAAACTTAGAACTTTATCAAAATTATGTATATGCAATCTTTCAGAAAATATTTCCTTGATGCTCAAGTATGTGCTAAAATAACAATATGGAAAGTATAAGTACTCTTAGCAAACTGATCCTTTAGCCTATTGACCTTCTATATACATTTAGGAAAATTTATATCACGTATATATAATTAGTATAAAGCTCTAGAAACTCAACTAAATATAATATATATATTTTATCATGAAAACTCATTTTTCCTAAGATATATATATATAAATAATATACCATAGGAATTACCATGCACTTCAAAGCATATGATCATGAATAATATATATGCATGAACCTAAATGGTGATAGATGAAATTCAAGTGTGATTCTTACCTTTGAAGTTCATACTTGAGAAAATTGACATCTTTACCCTTGAAGTTGATCTTCGGACTATTCTGCCTCACTTTGTAGAACTCTGGACGATTTTGCCCTTGCAATGGTTCTTAGACTAACTTGTAGTAGAACTTTGGACTATTTTGCCCTTGCAGTTGTTCTTAGAATATTTTGCCCTTTGAGGTAGAACGTTGAACTATTCTGTCCTTGTAGTATTTCTTGGATTGTTTTACCCTTTGAAGAAGTACTTTGATTGATTTGCCCTTTGTAGTAATTTTGTCTTTACACTCAAATCATCTACCTAATCTATTTCTATCTCGCTCACTAAACATATAATCATTAAATTACAATAGTGAGTTTTGTACTAAGAAATTTGCCAATTACAATATTAGAATTGCTAAATTCCTAACAAATTGGAACGAACATGTTTAGCTAGGTGACACATCTCACAAGATAAATCTGGGGGTGCCACATTACTAAATAAAGAAGGAAACAAATGTTTTAAATGACCAAAAGAAATGTCTTAAATGCAAGTGTCGGCGCACAAGCTGAGCTTTATTAGATGAAACAAAACTAGAAAAGAAAACCGAATGTGCTTGAGGTGACAAAGGAGCATCCGACAGGTATGGGCCATCCACTTCACGCCCACTGCCAATCGTTCACCTCTACACTAGATCTTGAACAACAAGTGAGATGGAAAGTACATTACAATTTAATTTAGTAACGCTACTAAGAGAAATAAGATTAGTAGAAAGCTGTGGAACATGAAGCTGATCCGATAAAGTTAAAGGAGTAACCGATATGTGACCCTTTCCAACAATGGAAGACCGAGAGCCATATGCACCTTGCGATGGCTAGAGGAAATACTATTAGATTGGCAGGAGGACATACAATTATATTGTCTGAAGCATGAGTTAGTGATCCATGGTGTCGGGATATGAGTTCCCTAAGGCTCCACCAAGTTCAGTGTATTGCTCGTTCATAAATTCACTTGACCACTTTGATGTAGATATGCTATGTGCAAAAGCAATTGAACCTGAGTGGGCATAATTGGAGGTTGGCTACGATGATACCTCCATCTGATTGAAGAACTGTTTGAACTTGTCCAAATTAGCCCGAGTCCTGTTGAGGAGGATGAAGAAACAAAGTTGATGTGACCAAGCTTCCCGCAATGGTCACACAGTCAAAGAAAAATTTTCTTTTGGGGGGGGGGGGGGGGGGGGGACATTGCACATTATAATATATATTTATTGAATAATGTGTGTGCATATAAATCGGTGTTTATGGGGGTGGATATATATAGAAAGATTTTGATATTTTTGGGATGAGTTAATTTAATAAATTATATATATAGAATATAAGGGAGGGAGAAAATCTAGGGGGGGCATGTGCCTCCCTGGACTTTAACTCCCTCTGTCCCTGACAGCGCCCATTCTATCGTGCTGGAGGAGGGCTTGTGTTAGAACTTTGAATCAACTGGAATGGTGTAGTTCTTAAAGAATTGGGAACACCAACTGCCATTGCAGAATTGTCAGCAGAAGCGGCACCTAATGGATGAGTCTGACGGCTCTCATTTGGCTACATAGACAGTGGACAGAATGTGGAGGTCGGAGAGGGCCTCTTCTTGCCAGCTTTCCCATAGGAGTATGTATCTTCCAGAGTAGGGAATGAGGACAAGCCCAACAAATGAACACGAGCATACTCAAACTCGCCGTTCAACTCGGCGAGAAACTAAAACACATCATTCTTCTCCACAATCCCCACATATAGAATTGCATCCTTCTAAGAGGGGAAGGAATCATAATATAATATCTCCTCCCATATAGCACAAAGCTTGGCGATGCAACTTGCAACTGTTGTGTCACCCCGACTAATCCTGGTGATATCTCGCCCCAGCTAACAAAGATTGTGCCTCTAAGAATTAGTGCGTTGTACTGATTCTACCGAATCCCAAATCTGCTTAGCGGTCTTCATAAACATATAGCCAACGACTATGTTTGACTGTATTGAATTGACTAACCAAGACATAAACATGGTTTTATCAGCAAACCACTGTGGATATGTCTTCCTCTCTAACTCTACTGGCTCTTTTTCCAAACCAGTAATATAGCCAATCTTGCCTTTATCACCAATGAACATCCTGGAAAATTATGTCCAAACAAATGGTTGTAACCATCCAACTTCACTGAGGTGATATGAAGTCCTAGATTTTTTGATGAGTTGGTTGGAGAAATGGCACCGTCACCCACAGAATTCCAGTCATGAGAATAAACAATCGAGGACTCTGAAGCTGCCATACTCTATTACACGACAATAATCAACTCCAAAACACCACAAATCCTGTCAACTAATCAACAATGTCTCCTAAGACCATAAAAAATCAACAATGTCTCCTCAAACCATTCCCAAAAAGTCCAAATACACACTTTTTTTTGGGAGTGCTGTCCACTTACATATAGCCGGACAACCTCGTCCTTAATATCCGGAACCTCTCTATAGGCTCACAAGAATTTAACCAAGCCCTTCTAAGTGTTGGAGACCAACTATACTAACTTACCCAACCTTAGGAAAGTAAAAAAGAACTTGTAAAACTTAGAAAAAGACCTGCTTTTGATCATGTTAACAACCATTTACTCCAAAAGCTTAAGCTATTAGAGAGGGTGTAACTTTAATATTTAAATTCTTCGACACGCCCCTTCACGAGTGGCCACACGTGTTTTTCAATTTTAATTTTCAGCGTGAAGGTGAGGTTTGAACTCGAGACTTTTGGCTTTGATACCATATTAACAACCATCTACTCCAAAAGCTTAAGTTATTAAAGAGGATGTAACTTTAATATTTAGAGAGAATGTAACTTTAATATTTAAATCCTTCGACACAGGATCATGTGTAGGCAACGCCACAGGGTGTCACAAACAGCCTAAGGTGGATTTTGCACAAGCTGCAAGGTTGCTGGAGGTTGTGGAAAGGTGGTGGCTCTGATACCAAGAAGAAAAACAAGATAGATTAAGTACAAGAGAAATATGTAAAGGCTTAAATGAGAATTCTCACTCATTCATATCTCTGGTATTTATATACTAAAAGAGAACATGTTAAATATAACAAGAAAGGAAACCAAATAAAATCACAGTAGATTCTATGCCCAAATGTATGCTTAAATAAAGTCAAATTCTGTGATTATAGGCTATCATATCTTGGCTAACAATATTGCACCAAGCATTGACCCTTGCTTAATGGACAGGCAATGCATATTATATTGCAAAACACTATCAACATCTAGGAAGCACAGACACGCCTAGAAGAGCAAAGAATCCGTGTCGGACACCGACATGCACCACACACGCCCCGACACGTTCGGACACACCAAAATACATGTTTGAATATTTTATATTCTTTCGAATATCCGGACACGCCGTGGACACGCTTCCGACAAGCCATGGATACGTGTCCGACACGCGTGTCCCATTCTTTGGGGATTCTTAAGAAAGTTTTAGAACAATGTTGAGTTGAATTGTAAATATTAGGAGTTGTTTAATTACATAATTACTTAAAAACTTCTTGTTTTATGAAACAATTTTATATTCAAACAATTAGATATTTATTCTTATATTTTAGTTCAAAGGTTTGAACCCTTGCACGATCATCTTTGACTCTCTTGTTGTCCCACCAACCAAGCTTCGCTACCGGTGAATGGTCTCTCTATCTCTTTCACCTCTTCTCTCTCTTATTCTTCGTCCTCCTCCTTTCTTTCTTCTTGTTCTTCACAAACCCTAAATACTTCTTTTTTTCCTTTCACAAATCTTTTTGTCCCTTTTTCCTTTTTCCTCTGTTCCCCATGAACCTTTTTTTCTCTTCTATGGATTCTTACCTTTATTTTTAACTAAGGCCAAATTCTTTTTTAACAAAACCCTAATCATCTTTCTTTTTTTTTTTTTTTTTCTTAACCCTCTTTCTATCATTGTTTTCTTTTTCTAGCAAAAAAACATTTTTTTTCATCATGAGATTTAAAAAAAATAATATTACTCTTAATTTCTTAAAGTACAACATCATATATATACAAAATTTATTTCTTATTTGCCGTGTCCGTGTCCTAATTTTTTAAGATCTTCCATGTCTCCATATCCGTGTCCCATATCCGTTTCCATGCTTCTTCGATCAACATGCTTGTACTCTCTTAATTGCATTAAATCATGTCATAGAATAAAGTTGATACATCAGGGAATGAAGTTTTACAGACGGTATCAGTACGCCAATGTTTGACAGCTTCAGTTCTGCTTTGCAGCCCAATTTTGGAGGTTTCACGTCTCTTTGCAGAAACTGTTCAGCATGGACTTCGTTGCATTACATTTTGCAAATCACGCAAACTTTGTGAACTTGTTCTATGCTATACGTATGTGCCATGATCCCATTTTATCATGAATTTGTATTTTCATGCTCCATCAGTATTTGAATGAGGAAGATGGCTTAATTTGGTATCTGTATTTGTGATAAGGCGTGAGATTCTTCAGGAGACAGCACCTCATCTCGTTAACTCTATTTGTGCGTATCGTGCTGGTTATATTGCTGAGGTTAGTATTGTTTTGTTCTTTGTTTTTAGTTAATAATGATCAAGGTGGTTGGGGGAAAAAAGTATTTGAATTGACAAAAAAATATTGGTGTTCATGTTATTTTTATCAAGGTGTGGCAGAAAAGTACTTTTCTATATCCAAAGAGGTGGAAAACGGGTCTATGCTGAAGCTTTAAAATCGTTTTCCATTGGTTATAGTAATATCATGATCCTAGAGAGAGGAGCAATAATTCAATACCTTTGGGCAACTTGAAGATTGCCAACAGACATGACCAATTGAATTAATCCTTAAAGGTTAAAGCTCTTCCTACTCCAGACGCAAAACAGGACCTACAACTTTAAACTTTTGCTGGCAGCAACCACGAACTCCAAAATTTCTGATTTTGCATATGTTTTAGCCACGGAAGTTAGCTTTCCAATGCCGCTAACCTTGGGTCAATCTGACTTCAAACGAAGGAGATATGCCCGTTTTAGTGACTACTAGTTCTGCTGGGAAAATCCTGCGAACTTCACCTTTCTAGCCTTCTTCAATGGTTGCAGTTTTGTTGTGTCTATAAAGGGGTCAATGCCTAGTGCAATGATGGAAACACGGACTGACAACCTTTAGGTCTCAAATTCGAGTCTTTGAGCAGCCACTTTGTGTATAATATCGAAGGTTAGGTTTGTCTCTGGTGACGCTAGTGTAGTTGGGACATACAGTGGACAATACTCTTTGGTTTAATTGTGTCTCTGTAGTAGTCTTTAGTTTACCCAGCAACCAAGAAAATAAATAAATAAATAGTATGTATACAAATCAATTCTCTGTTTGTAACATCTTACGTCTACCTTGGTTTTTAATAATTCTTATGAATTTGTATGATGATTTCTACTTTAATCATTGACATGTTCAATTCTAATTTACTCAAGATCATGTCTTGACATTAGCTGATGGATAGAGCAGGATAGGAGGAGAATCGAGAGAGACATTTTTGGCGGAAATATTTGCGGTGTTGCTGCTACAAATGCCCTTGAGTTGGGCATTGATGTTGGATACATTGATGTGACGCTCCATCTAGGCTTTCCTGGTAGTATAGCTAGGTATAGAACTTTATAATTTCTGTTTGTGTCAATAATATAACTTTTTCCTTGAATTCTTCTCATCTATGACTGTTAAATTTTATATCTAGTCTGTGGCAACAAGCTGGAAGGTCAGGGAGAAGGGAAAAGCCATCACTTGCTATTTTTGTTGCATTTGAAGGGCCTCTTGATCAGTACTTCATGAAATTTCCCCAGAAACTCTTCAAGAGTCCAATTGAGTGTTGTCATATTGATGCTCAAAATTATCAGGTTTCTTTAATTTTAAATACATGGTGTCATTTACAATTTACAATTTCTTATTTCTTATAGTAGCCATATTACTTTGAATAGGCGTCTGTTATGGATTCCGACATAGTGGGAGAACATACCCTCATTTTTGGTGCTTTATTTTTGTAGGTTCTTGAACAGCACCTTGTATGTGCTGCTCTTGAACACCCATTGAGCTTAGTTCATGATGAGAATTATTTTGGTCCCGGCTTAAAGAATGCCGTTATGGAACTTAAAATTAAAGGAGCCTTGAGTGTTGATCCATCACGTGATTCTTCTGCTAGAATATGGAGCTATATTGGGCATGAGGTATGTTATTTGTATTCATGGTCTAGATCTAATATTTCTTTACTTGTCAATGATTTGTGTGATAATGTGTAAAATCCTATAATTACATTCCACTTTTCTGGTTATATTTCTTTTTCTAGAAAATGCCTTCACATGGTGTTAATATTCGGGCAATAGAGACTGAGAGGTACAAAGTAATTGACAAGCAAAAGAACGAAGTCCTTGAAGAGATTGAAGAAAGCAAGGCTTTCTTTCAGGTAGAAAGCTTATTTTATGCAATTTCATAATATTTATGTTTGGCACTTGATTTTTGATAGTGAAGTGGTTGCCTCCATCTATTGTTGATCTTCAGAGTGCCTTCTCTGCGGTGCTTTGACTTTATCTTCTACTTACTTAGACATGGATCTACTTAAAAAAAAAAATCACACTTCAATTACCATCTTTTATTAGCTTTGTACCTGCAAATGTAATCTGCCTGCTCCCTTTAAATGCCATAATTGTCATACTTGGTGCTCATGCACCATCTCTTTGGTCTATGCTGCTATACTGTGAAGAAAATATTTTTTTTTTGGAATTTTCAGGTTTATGAAGGTGCCGTGTATATGCATCAAGGAAAAACCTATCTGGTGAAGGACTTGGATATTTCAAGTAAAATTGCTTTGTGCCAAAAAGCTGATTTGAAGTATTATACAAAGACTCGTGATTACACAGATGTTCATGTCATCGGCGGTGATATAGTATGTGGGCTCTTATTATCTGTTTTAATGCCACTTCTTATTACTTACATACATTCTGCATTTTGGTATTCTGCACAGATTTGTGCAACTTTGCGTGGTGTTGTCAGTGAGAGAATCTTGTTTTGTATTCTTGAATTTATTTGTTTTTGTTAACCAACATAAAATCATGGCTACTGTTGGAACCTTGGACCGCAGCATCTCAATTATCCTATAATAAGTGTGTGCTGATTTAACTACCCCATACTTAAGATTCACATTTGCATTTTTAATTGTTAAGTCACGCTTACACACTCACTTTGTCCCATTTGAGACCTGAAACACTTCCTCTTTGAAAGATGGAGGATGCCACTCAAGCTAATGCTTGGTGGTGACATTGGCAATTATATTTTAGGCTCCGCTTCATTGTTTATTAGAGCTTTTGCCACCTGAGTAGCATAGGGATTCTTAGAAACTATTAACACATTGTGAAAGAAGATAAAAACAAAATTTAAAATTTCTTTGCTCCAGAATTATTTCTGATATTCTGATGCTTTGATTGATGTGGCTATTTTGTTTGGCAAAAGTGTGACAACTGACAAGATACAACACTTTATGAAGACAGGACGCCCGAACCCCCTGAGCACATTTTTTTTAAATTGAAAAAATCTAAAAATAGAACAGCATTGATATGATGAGATTTCTGGAAGTAGAAAATTGAGGCGCTAGGTTTGTAAATGCATTGTAAAATTCATTGTTACTTGGGCTTGTCAGTGGATACATTATTCTATAATCCATAAATGGTCTGAATCTTTCAGATCCAATTTAGATATAGGTTGATCTAATTCATTAGCAATTTGCATTACTCAATGTATGTTCCACCTAGTTGGGTTGCTGGGAGGGGAAGATTGGAGTTTGACCTAACCATTGTCATTAATTAGGAATTTATTTTGTATATATATGCTGTGTTGCATGTATCATGCAACTAATTATACATTATAAAGGGTATGATGGGATATAGCCTTTAGGTTGTTTTGGTCTGTCACTGCCCCATAAGATGTTAGAATCTCCAATTTGTGTGCTTCTCCTCTCTAGCTGGTCTGCTGAGGGAAAGGAGAAATAGGGGGTATAGCCCTCTTTGTGCAACTGACCCAGGTTCCACAGGAAGAGATATGTCCTCAAATTTGGAATCAAAGTTAAAGTCATATTAGAAGAAATATAATATAGAAGAAGGAGAAGAGAAATGTGTAAAGGCTTGAATGAGATAAATTACTCATTCATAACTCTAGTATTTATAGATAACAGAGCACATGTTAATATTAGATGAAAGGAAATTAAATAAAATCATTGCAGATACTATGCTTAGACATGCGTAAATAAAAAACTCCATGATTTAAGGCTATCATATCTCATATAATATGGTAAGTCACATCCCACGATTCGTGGCTATCATATCTCGGCTAACACTCCCCCTCAAGTTGGTGCGTGGATATCTGAGATGCCCAACTTGGACAATGCATCCTTAAACACGACCTTGCTTACGCCCTTCATAGGAATGTCTGCAAGCTGTTGAGAGCTAGTGACAAACAACGTGCAAATTTGACTAGAGACGATCTTCTCTCGAATAAAGTGACGGTCAACCTCTATATGCTTAGTTTTGTCATACTGAATGGGATTTGTTGCAATGCTAATGGCAGACTTGTTGTTACCATAAAGTGAAAATGGAAACGACATTGGAAGGCACAAGTCTATTATTAACGTTCTTAGCTATAACAACTTGCAAACTCCAAGAGCCATAGCCCTATACTTTGCCTTTGCACTAGATCAAGAGACAACATCTTGCTTCTTACTATACCAAGTAACCAAATTGCCACCAACAGTAGTACAGTAGCCCAAAGTTGACCTCCTATCTGAAATTGATCATGCATAACCAGCATCTATCTAGGCCTCAACCTATTAGTGACTATGATTGGCAAACAAAATACCACGGCCCGGACACTCCTTCAGGTAGCGAAGGATCTGAATAACTGCATCAAGGTGAGAGGTGGGAGGACAATGCATGAATTGACTCACAACACTCACGGAATAAGCAATGTCAGGTTGAGTTATTGATAAATAAAATGAGCTTCCTAACAAGTTGCTGATATAGACCGACATCCGACAATAACTCCCTCTCAGAATCAGCCAACCGATGATTTTGCTCATTCGTATTAGCATGACGAGCACCAAGTTGACCAAAAGTAGAAAGCAAGTCAAGAACATACTTGCATCGAGAGATGAAAATGCCAGCCTTGGAGCGAGCCACCTCAACCGTGCCACCTCAACCTTGGAGCGAGCCACCTTGGAGGAGACTGCTTGAGGCCATACAATGAGCAATGAAGATGATAGACCATACTGGAATGAGCAGGAGAGCGAAAGCCCGGAGGGGGAACCATATACACCTCCTCTTGCAAGTTATCATTCATAAAAGTCTAACTGAAATAGAGGCCAAGATCGAATTGCAACAATGGAAAATAATACACGAATGGCGTTCATCTTGGCAACAGGGGCAAAAGTCTGCTAATAATCTATGCCATGGATCTGAGTATAACCCTTGGCAACCAACCAGGCCTTATAGCGAGCAATTGATCCATCTGGATTATGCTTAACTGTAAACACCCAGCGGCAACCCGCAGTTTTTCATCGAACAGGAAGCAGAACCATGCCCCAAGTCTGATTTTCTCAAAGTGCTTGCAATTCCTCAAGCATAGCATCACCCCACTGAGGTTGTGCTAGTGCATCTGAAACATTAGAAGGAAGAGAAACTGAGGTAATAAAAATAAGAAAACTCCGATAGAAGGGTGAGAGAGCATAATCAGAAACAAAATTTGAAGTGGGGTAAATACAAGAACATTTACCCTTCCAAAGAGTAATGTGGCAATCATCAAGCACCACAATAGCTTGAGAAGGCGAAATTGGTGCCGAAGGGACTAGGCAGTTGGTTGTGAGAGTAGAAGCTCGTGTCTATTGCCTACGACTGCAAACATGTGAAAAAGGAATAATTCCCGGAGGGGTATCACAAGGAGGAATAACATAAGATGAAATAGGCAAAGGTAGAGGAGTTGAAGACGGAAGAAGGCGATCATCAATTGTGTTCAATGGGAACCACTCACTTTGAGAACCAACCGAACCAGTATAGTATGGTGTATGCTCAAAGCTATCTTACATGGACTTGGGTACGTGTATTTGACACGGGTATGTATCTATGTGTCGGACGTGTCAAATCTCCAAACAGAAGGACACACGGACACGGCTAAATATTCATTTTATTAGTTATTTTATTTTATTTTCTAGAGTAAAGTAATGTTTTTATCTAATAAAATGTTCAATATAGGCGTTTAACTCATTTTAAAGTAATAATATAATATCATTGAATGATTTGATATGTTTTTTAAGTGCATGTCCAACAAAAAATGTCGGACACATCCCACACCTATGTCCGAGCAATATGTGTCCGACACAGGTACTTCACTACTTTTGAAAAGTTCATGTAACATAGGCTCAAAGAAAGAAACATCCATGGATATAAACCGTTAGACGACTGGGAGGATGGTAACACCTGCAACCTTTCTGAGATTGAGAATAGCCCAAAAAAACACACTTCAATGCATTGGGATCAAGTTTTGTACGAGTGTGCCCCAACTACTGAATAAACACACACCCCCGAAAACTCGCGGAAGAATTAAAAAGAAAAAGAAAAAGAGAGATTGATTTGGATATAGGATTGAGAATAGGGCTGCAAAATTAGGAACCCTAAAAGGGGTCCTATTAATTATGTAGACTGCTGTAAGAATTGCATCTCCCCAAAATGACTGGGTGACATTCATGCCAATGCCTTTTTTCTTTGGCTAAGTCAAGGATGTGGCGAATATTTTCTAATGACCATTCTGTTGAATGGTTTGAACATTAAACCTCTAATGCTCAATCCTCTTTAAATAACCGTTGTACCTCCCTATTAGTGTACTCCGTACCCTCATCAGATATGATTTTTTAATGGTACGAACTGAGTCTGAGCCATGGTAAAAAAAATTAAAAAAATGGTGTACACCTCAGTTTTGGTCTTCATAAGATATACTCATGTAAAACGGCTATGGACGCAAACTATCAAAATCCAAGACTAAAAGTAATAGGCCCCCACACATTTGATTGGACTAGATTAAAAGGTGTTGAAGCAATTTATTACTACTAGTAGGATAATTGAAACAAACATGGTTAGCCAGATGACACCTCTCACACGATAAATCTGAGACTGCCACATTACAAAACAAGGAAGGAAATATATGTTAATAACCGAAAGAAATGTCCTAAACGCAAGTGTTAGTGCATAAACTGGTCTTTATTAGATGAAATGGAATTAGAAAAGGAAACTGAATGTACTTGAGGTGACAAAAGGAGCTTCTAATAGGTATAGGCCGTCCATTTCACACACACTACCAGACATTCGTTTCGACACCAGATCCTGAAAGACACAGTGGGATGGAAAGAACATTATACTACAGTTTAGTTTAATTGTTTAGTAACACTACTAACAAAAATAAGATTTGTAGTCAACTATGGAACTTGAAGTGTATCAGATAAAGTTATAGAATGAGTAATCTATATGTGACCCTTCCTAGCAATGGAAGATGCAGAGCCATTTGAGTACCTTACGATGGCTAAAGTAGATGCTATAAGATTGGAAGGAGGACATACCAGTCATATTGTCTGAAATAGTAGTTACAAGTGTCGAAGATGTAGATGCGCTGTGTGCAGATGCAATAGAACCTAGTGAAGATAAGTGGAGGTTGGTTGAGATGATGCTTCCATTTGATTGAAGAATTGTTTGAACTTGTCGAAATTAGCCTGAGGCAAGGTAACTGTGGTAGAGGATGAAGAGGCAGTGTTGTCATGAAGTGAATGAGACTAGTTTTGTGAAATAATGTCTAGAGGAATGTGGTTGTTGTTGTTTCTGCTGCAGTGGGCATCCATGTGGGGCATGTTAACTATCATCTACTCTAAAAGCTTAAGCTGTTAGAGAGGTGTAACTTAAATATGTAAACCCTTCAACATGTTCCCTCACGTGTGGCCTTCTTTTTGGTTCAACACGTGTTTTTTAATTTTTAATTAGGGTGACAGTGAGGTTTGAACTTGAGACCTTTGGCTCTGATACCATGTTAACTACCATCTACTCTAAAAACTTAAGTTGTTAGAGAGGATGTAACTTAAATATATAAATCCTTCAACAGTGCATAACAACGAGATTTGATGTGACCAAGCTTCCTGCAATGGTCACACCGCCCGCGTTGTCGTCCAGGAGGAGGGCCGATTCTAAAACTCTAAACTGACTGGGATGGTGCAGTTCATAAAGAGTTGGGAACATTAATTGCCATAACAAAGTAATCAACAGAAGCAACGCCTGGAAGATGAGTCCAATGGCTAAGTAGGGAATGAAGACAAGCCCAACAAATGAACAAGAGCATACTCAAACTCCTCGTTCAATCCAACAAGAAATTGAAAAACCCGATTCTTCTCCACAATCCCCGCTTATAAAATTGCATCATTTGATCTTTCTAAGAGAAGAAGAAATCATAATATGACATCTCCTCCCATGTAGCACGAAGCTTGGCAATGTAACTTGAAACTGTCAAGTCACTCCAAGTAATCCTAGTGAGATCTCGCCCCAACTAAAAAATCCTTGCATTATTCTGCCTCTGAGAATAAGTGCGTTGTACCGAATCCCAAATCTGCTTAGTAGTCTTCATAAATATATAGCCAACAGTTATGTTTGGCTGCATTGAATTGACTATCTAAGACATAACCATGGCGTTATGTGCAAACTAATGTGGATATGTCTTCTTTGACTCCGTTGGCTCTTTCTCATAACTAGTAATATAAGCAATCTTGTCTTTGCCACCAATGAACATCCTGGAAGATTGTGCCCAAATCAAATAGTTGGAACCATCGAACTTCACTGTGGTGATTTGAAGTCCTAGATGTTTTGATGAGTTGGTGGAAAAAATGGCACCACCACCCACATAACTCGAGCCTTGAGAATTAACTGTCGAGGACCCTAAATATGCCATTATCTGTTACATGACAATAAACAACTCCAAAAAACACCACAAATTATATTAACTAATCAAAGGGTCTCCTCAGACCATAAACAATAAAAAATGTCTCCTCGGACCATTCCCGAAAAGTCCAAATACAGATTTCTTTTAAGCAGCCCTGCCGGCTTACATATAGTCGGATAACCTCCTCAATAACCGGAACCTCTCTGTAGACTCACGAGATTTTACCTAAGCCCTTGTGGGTGTTGGAAACCAACTATAACAATTTACCCAACCCTAGAAGAGTAAAAGGAAAAAAACTTTAAGAGTACCTACTTTCGATCACAAAACAGCAACACACGGAAACATGTGCCGGCAGCGTCACAGGGTGTCGCAAACAGCCTAAGGTGGCTGTTGCACAAGCTGCAAGGCTGCTGGAGGTTGTGGAAAGGTGTTGGCTCTGATACCAAGAAGAAATATAATATAGAAGAAAGAGAAGAGAAATGACTAAAGACTTGAATGAGATGAATTACTCATTCACAGCTCTAATAGCATATGTTAATATTACAGGAAAAGAAATTAAATAAAATCATTGCAGATCTTATGCCTAGACATCTTCTAAATAAACTCAAACTCCATGATTAAAGGCTATCATATCTCAGCTAATATCTGATATGGTAAGTCAAATCCCATGATTCGTGGCTATCATATCTCGGCTAACAATATTAAACTTCCAAAATAGTTTGGAAACATTGCACGAAGTCTGAAATTGATGATTGGGACATGTTTTCTAAAATTAGAAATTCAGAAATCAATTGATTGAGACATGTTCTCTAAAATTAAATTTCAGAAATCTTGAAACTGTATCATGTACTCACATCACTCGGTTACCCATTCTTAGTTTGTGGTGATGATCAGTCATGAATTTTTCAGCCTTTTGAGGACTGATATATTGACTTTGAATCTCAAATTTGGAGACTCAAAATAAAACAAAATTACAAGTTGATCCCCAACACGGATTGAGAATTCTAGTGTAAAACCATTCTATCCAACCTGTTATAAAATAAAGGCAAGATACCCTTGGAATTCATTGGCAATCGTTGCACAAAGACGGTTGTTTTAGTCCTGAACCCAAATTCAACTAAGGTTCTTAATTTCTTGTGTCCAACAAAATCTGGAGGTTGATGCTGTGCACTCTCCCTGGATATTCTTCCCTTTGGTCTGGATAATTTGTGAAATATGGATCTGAAGGGCATGAGAAACTCAACATAAGCAGCTCCACTGTGCATCATTCTTGAATAGAGAAGATTATAGTCGGCCACTAGATAATGATCCTGGATATCCTGTAGTAATTCAATCGCACTTACATTATGTTAATATATATTTCAGCAATGTCATTTAGGAACTTAATCCTATTTGCATAAGGGCATTTGTACAGCTTCATTACTATAGCAATTTCAACATAGAAGCCCCTATTTGATACTGGTGGAATAAATAATGCTAACTATTTCAATGCTTGCTGTTGTTTAGGCCTATCCAGCAAGGATTTCCGATATCCAGTTTCCAAGAACAACTGCCCATGCAAATTCTTGCAAAGTAACAACTACTTGGTTTGGTTTCCGTCGTATATGGAGAGGAAGTAACCAAGTCTTTGATACAGTTGAACTTTCACTTCCTAATTATTCATATGAATCACAGGTGCATGCCAGTGCCAATTGGCATTATTATGTATCTCTTACTTTTGATTATTTTTGTTCATGTTGTGGTTCCAGTCATTCTCCTGTGACCTTTTTTTATTATAAGTTTATATTTTTACCTTTACATTTAAACAGGCAGCTTGGATTCGAGTCCCGCAATCAATAAAAACAGCTGTGGAGAATAAAAAGTTATCATTTCGTGCAGGCTTACATGCTGCTGGTCATGCTCTTCTTAATGTAGTGCCTCTGTAAGTCACTAACATTCGTAATATCTAAAAAACCTTATAGCCTGTTTAGTGTCTGAAGGATTCTGAAATATGAAGATGATTTTGAAGTTAAGATCCTAAATCTTTATTCAGGATCTTTCCCACAGTTTTAATGCGAATTATCTATTTTCTTTGGGGAATTTGAAGGTGCCTGTAACTCCCTTGTGATCTTGATTGGTTGTTAGTCTTACTGTTGCATGATATTTGTCTTGCAGACATATAATTTGCAACTCGTCCGATCTGGCTTCAGAGTGTGCAAATCCTCATGATACCCGCTATGTTCCTGAAAGAATTCTATTATATGATCAGCATCCTGGAGGGACTGGCATTTCAGCACAGGTATGTTACGAGCGACACTTTTTTTCCCCTCATTTTTTGGGGACAAGAGTGACATCAATCAAACTAAGGGGCCAATCTTTGGTGTAGCGGTGAGAGAGAGAGAGAGAGAGGACTGTTTAGCGTGAGGACAAGGCCTCAAGTCTGAGGCAGCCACTTTGTGCAACTAAAAACAAATTTAGGTCTTTAACCAGTCCTCCCTTCTTAATACCCTCAGTTAATGGGTAATCGCCTTTTTGGTGTATAAAATTGAAGTACAGCTAATTTTATTTTGTAAAGAATATAGGTGAATTTTGATTGTGGACTGACCCCAGCTAACAAGAATGGAAATTGAGCTACCATTTTTTTAGATTTGCAACCCAGAGCAGTTCAGAAAGGGACGCGGGGTTTCTAGATTTGTGCACTGTCAATTGCAGACAAGAATAACATGCTCACTTCCACTGTTATGAAAATATTTGAGTGTGCAGGTTCAACCACTTTTCACTAAACTATTAACCGCTGCTTTGGAACTTCTCATATCATGCTGCTGCTCAGGAGATACTGGTTGCCCCAACTGCGTTCAAGTCAGTATCGAATTCTTATTTTTTTTCTTTTAAATTAATTTATCCCTCATCGGAAACTCTATAGATTTTTGCATGTTGCAGAGTCTAGCCTGTCACGAGTATAATGAGGTTCTGCACAAGGATGCGGCCATAATGATTATTGAGGTTGTGTTTTGGAGCGCAAAGATTGGTATCACTGTGCCACTTCTATTTTCTTCATATAGCAGCTACTGAATTAATCTTTTTTTGTTCAGGGTGTTCTAGACGCTGAGAAGTCCTCCGGCTAACTTTTCCGATTATAACATTCTCTAAGAGGAGCCACAATGAAATATTTGTTTTATTTGTTCAGCAACAAGCTAGAAAAAGTAGCTATCATATATATTTACATGCAGCCCTTGTTTTATTCGAGAGGGTTGAAATTCATTTTCTGTATTTTTCTTCAGTAGACCAAATGTTATTGTAACTTACGGAAAAAAATAAAATAAAAAATTATGTTATTCATAAAAAAATTATGAATTGAACTATCTTATTATTTATTTATAATAATAATAATATCGTTAAACCTAAAAATCTATATTGTCCGTTCCTTATTTCATCTTGAAAATTTTTTAACTGCAGGTCACTCAAGTAAATCAAAGCAAATATTAATATAACCCCGGTTGATATAGTTATCACAATTAAGAATGAACTTAAATTAGTAACAGATAAGGAAAATTACTCAAGATGGCTCAAGTACTTTTTTGCTTATTGATGATTCATTCAGTGTGTCCGGCATGTCAACGCATTTGGTTCTGAATCATCTCATCTAGATGACCGAGACAAGCCACTCAATTTCACTCAATGTTTTTATCGAGTTAAAAATCAACGATTACACCCGTAAAATAGAATGTCAAATTCTATTTTTTTTAGTGCAAATATTAATAATTACGAATATCGATGAATTTATATCTCAAGAAACTTATTTAATGTATGTATATATTCATTATATTATACTCCATTAATAAGCAATTAGCTCAAAAACTCTTTCAACTACTCAACACAATAATTACAATTAAACTAGTTAATAGAGAGAGGTGAAGTTGGGGTTGTGTGGGTGGTTAGCTTGTGGTTGGTGGGTGGTTGTGGTTATTGTTCAGGAATGGTTTGGAAGTCAATTTGCATAATGTGTAGGGGTAATTTGGACTTAAATGTATATGAGTTTACTTGTGTATAGTTGTCATATTTTGTAATACATTTTATTAAAGTGACACTTTTTATCTATTATTTTTGGACATAGTTGTATTTGTAATATCATCAAAATAAATTATTATTTATTAAATTATCCCATAATAAATGAGATTTTATTAAGAAATATCAATTTAGTTCAATGACTTTTCAGTGCACTCACAAAACCTAACATTACCTCGTTCTTCACCTATATTTAGGTCCTTTGTGCACATTGTTATTCATGCAATTCAATATTTACATTACAATTCCTCTCTATATATTTCTATCACTAAAGATTTTCCAACACTAAAAAAATTTTAAACATTGATTAAAAATCATGCATTTTGAGCACGCATCTTTTTATTCAAAAAAAAAAAAAAAAAAAAATTGAAATTAAGAATCGTGAACATGCAATGGATGAAATTAATTGGTGAAAGTGCACTAAAGGGTATATTGACCTTTTTGCCCTTTATATGATGAAATTGACATTTAATCTTCATTGAACCTTGTCTTCACGTTTTTTATTTTATGGCCAAAATTTAATCTCAGGAAGAAGAAGATACTTAGTGAAGGAAGAGGCAAAATTATGATTTAGGTATATAATTATCTTTTGAAAGAGGATTCAATGTAAAGTTTGGATCATATTTTTGTGAATTTGGATACTCTAAAATTGTGGCCGATGTAAATTTCTAGTAGTTCAAGATTGGGTGCAAACTTGTGTGGCATGCAAGTGATTAAAAGATAGAATATTAATGAGTTGATCATCGGAGATTGGTTATCATTTTAAGTCATATCACAATGTATATCATGTTTTCAACTCAACAAAAGTTGGTCACAAATTCACAATTGATGCACCTAGTTCTAATGCGTATATGGGCGTGATGTATGTGGATTGGGAAGAATGGAGAATGGCTGAGAGTAGGGAGAGAGAGTGTGTGTTGAGCTGAAATCGAGATGCCCAAAAATTTGTTCGTTTAGCCATAGGAAGCACTGATACTCGGTCAATGGTGTCGTGATTTCTCTTCTGAAAGTATCAAAGGAATATATATGCTACTAATTTTATAATATAAAGGTGTTATGTGTACATTACTTTATATATATATATATATATATATATATATATATATTAAACTTTTTTCTTTATATATATCTCTAAACATCTTCTTCTTCTTCTTCCTCCTCTTTATTTTTTTATTTTATTTTATTTTTTTTTAACTTTGAGAATTTGTGGGATAAAGATTTGAATTTTTTGAGATTCTAGTTTACTCTTTTTTACTATTTTTTTTTTTATTTTTATTTTATTTTATCTTTTTTCGTACCAACATTGATAAAAAAAACTAAAAAAAAAAAAAAAAATCCCAATATTAATGTGCATTGGTTTTCGGAGTTTGGAAATTTTTTGTTTTCTTTAGTTTGCACTTTATTTTTATTTTTTATTTCATATTTTTATCTTTACTTTTCTTTTATACTTTTATTTTTATTTTATATTTTTATCTTTACTTGTCCATTGTCGGCGTCCTCTAATAATTTCATTTTTGGTCATTTTATAAAATTATTATTATTTTATATATTTTATAAAATGCTTCAGAAAGGATAATTTAGTCAACTTAGGGTTTAAATTTGTCAAAGAGACTTATTTGCACTATATTGAAACTTTCGGAGTATTTTTTTGCATGAGAGGGGCATCCTCCAATAGTGTCCTTTTCGATCATTTTACAAAATTATTTATTTTTATATATTTTATAAAATAATTCAGTAGGGGTAATTTTGTTAACTTAGGGTTTAAATTTGTCAAATGGACCTATTTACACCAAATTAAAACTTTAGGGTTGCTTTTGCACGTGAGTGGTGTGATATGCACCGTAAACATACTTTAAAGATGTTTGCTGCACTTGACCCTATTTATTTACTTATATAAGTTTTGTAATCAAGGATGAACCCATGCAATACCCCAAAAAACAGAAATTTTGTGTTTTTTTACAACTAAGCTCTACTATTTTTGTTATTTTGATATATATATATATATATATATATATTTATGAGATATTGCCTTTGCCCTCCTCACATGAGTTTATGTCCGCCCCTTTTTGTAATGCTAAAATATATTCAAACATTACGTTATTATATATAATAGTTTTCAACTGCATGGCAGTATTTTCACTGTCTAATCTTACTATAATTACTTAATTAATTTTTCTCTTTGCTTTTTTAAAGAAATTTATTATTATTTTTTCTTTATCATTAAACATTATTATGGGAAATGACAAAACTAGACCCTTTGAAAACAAAAATAAAATCAATTTTACCAACGGGTTAATGGCCCAGCGGTATCAGCATTTTACTTCTCAAAGGGAGATCAGAGGTTCAAGTCTCAAAAGAGATACTAAAAAAAAAAAAAAAGGGACAATTTGGCTACTCTATGCGTCCCATAAAAAACTACTTTCCATCCCGTTTAACTATTGGAACCAATAAAAAAATTCACAAGGAGGGAGTTGAAAGAAAAATATACAACGATAAGCCTTTATTAATTCTAATAATAAATTAAGAAAACACATTGTATATCTAAATTATTACAAACAATAAGAAGTCCCTCATCAGCTATAGAAGTGGAAGTAGCCAAATTGTCTTTATTTATTTATTTTTTTAACGGTCTAGTTTTGTCATTTTAAATAAAACTATTTATTTTGGTTGTATGTACTGTATTTTCAATGTAAAGTATTGGAAGTGCATCAAAAATAAGGACATTTTGATATGCTTTAAAAGTTTAATATTGGCGCTCTAAGAAAATATTATAACATTGAGTTCATTATAATTTTTAAATTGAAATGACAAAATAATTCTAATTAAACTTTCTTTAATTGCGTATCTATTTTTATCCTTTCTTTTTTTATTTTCCCCTGACCTTTATTCCTTTCATGGCGCCTTCCTTTTTCTCTTTCCTCCAATTTTACAGACATCGACGCCAATTTGATAAGACTCTTGAGCCTTTTTATTGCATGACCATCGAAAAAGTATATACGAATAACAATAAAGTTGATTTTGCATTTAAATTTTTAATAAGTTTTGCAAAGATAGAGAGTTAAAAGAAGAATTCGGATTTACTAATAGGGAGGAAAAAAATAGTAAAAGTTCAAACTTGTTAAAAATAATAGTATTGGAAGCTAGAGTACTGATGCTAATATCAATATCCTAAAAGAAAAATAAATAAATAAATAATAATAATTATAATAATAATAATAAAGTAAGAAGTACATGACATCTTCCCTTGAAAAAAAAAAAAAAAAAAAACTTTTTTCTTTCTTCGAATTCCCTTTAAATTAGCATAATACCCCAACAAATTGCACCCGTGAAATGCGGGAAAAGGACATATTCCTCGTGACAACTACTACGAGCCAACAAGAAGGGAATCTCACCTGAGCAAAGTGACTCGAATTGACGAAGCCAACAACTAGGAGAGAGTGTGCGCGCGATAAAGAGGGGATCAATTCCCACTTTCCAGTGGAGTGAGAGAGTAGGAATGGGGTGGGCAATTGCCTTGCAGGGTGGCGCCGGCGACATACCACTGACTCTACCTCCGGAACGCCGGGAGCCACGAGAATCGGCCCTCCGCCATTGTCTGCAGATCGGCGTCGCTGGTCTCAAAGCCAAACAGTCTGCTTTGGATGTTGTAGAACTTGTGGTATATATATATATATATATATACATATAATACTGAAATTTATGGTTCTTACACTTATATCACCACTTGCTGGCTGATGATGCCATATCATTTGCCTGACTCAAATAAAATAACAAATTAACAATGTTTGAGCTTCCTTGCCCATAATTTAAATCTTTTTTTTTTTTTTTGGTTGTTTAAATTTGTTGCTATAGATTCTAAACCCTTATGGGTCTATAATAACAGTTTTCTATAGTCTAAAGGCTTCGATTGATCATATCAGTGTTGATTTCTTTTTAATACTAAGACATATTTTGTATTTGTGTGTATAAATTTGATGAATGACATATATTATATATATTATTAAATGTTAATTTCTGTTTTAATTTCCTCGCTTCTATTCACTTCTACATAGAAATAATCCAATTCTTTCCATGCATGGGTTTCACCGACAAAAAGGAATTCTTATTCCAATCCTTTATCCCATATCTAATGTAAAACCCAATTCAAAGCAAGCCTCTAAATTGCGCGCGCGTGTGTATATATATACATATATATGCCACTATAGATTTAAAAATATCCACATCAAAGGAAACTTGAAAATAATTTTTCTTCACTTTAATCAATGTAAAGGATTTATCTAAAATACCAAAATCCCAAATAAAGAATTGCCGTGGTTGAGTGTTAACTTTGAATAAATTATGAACCACTATTATCATATTCAATTATATGAAATCTCAATTTAAAATATTAGATGGGATAGGTCATTACATGCTTGTTCTGTATTATATTCTTTTGTTTAAAGGATTATCTATTAAAAAGAGGGTTTAATTACAACGACACCTCCTGAGATTTGTTATATTGACAGTCATATACAATAGTCATTTTTTGGACAAAGACACCCTGTGAGAATTTTGATCCAAGCAAGCCCTTAAAATGTTTGAAAAGATGAGATTGCCTCTCAGTGTTTAATTTATTTTTTGGATAAAATATTATGACTTATGAAAAGTCAAAATTGCCCTTATATATATACACACAATTACATCAGCACCATCATATATAAATTATATAAGTTGTATATGGCTATTATATCTCACCGCCTCCTTCCTCCACCTCTGCCATCGCCTCATCCACATCCACTGTCGCCATCTTGATCCGCCGTTGCCGCCTCTCCCCAACAACAGCCGCCGTCATGTTTTCTCTCCTCCCTTCTTCCCTCTGTTTGTTCTCCCTCTCATCTCAACCTCCGAACACCACTACCCCAACCACGACGGCCACCGCTCCCTGCCACAACCACCACCATGCTAAAATAGGTCGATACCTAAACAAAATTGGCACATCTAGAACCTTAATCACCCTCTACAACACCGGAATCGGCTCCTCAAACCTCACCAACTACATAAAATCGCCACCACTACATGCAAGCTCATCACCAGGTCCAAGCTCAAGTTGCCGTCGACGACGCATCGTTCGAATGACATCGAAGCTTTGAGTGTGTGGTCCAACAACTTGCTCGGGCCATCATCAGCGGTGATAACTAGCTTGGTCGGTGAAGTCATTAGCAAAGGTGATGGAGGTTACCTTGAGGCCGACGATGTTGTTTTGGGGTGTAACGCTTCAGATCGGGCGAAATTGGGTTGGATCTGTTGTGTTGTGTTGTCATCGGATGGTGATTTGAAGCGGCGAAATTTTTGGACACTCTCAGCCACTGTTATTGGATTGGGTTTTGCGATTGGGTCTTACAATTTTTTGGATTGGATTTGGTGAGATTGGGTTAGGGTTTTTTCTTGGTTGTAGATGGTGAATGTTGTGTACAGTGGTTTACAGTGGGTGGTGGTTATGGGGTGGAGGTTACGATGGTGAGTGGATAGTGATAAAGAAGGGGTGGACGGCGGTGGAGATGGCAATGATGGGTGGTGGTTGTGATTATGGGATCGTGGGTGATGGTGGGGAGGTTGTCTATTTTCTTGTAGGTAATTGTGGGGGGTGATGGTGGTGGAGCTGCCAATGATGGGTCGTGGTTGTGATTCTGGGTGATGGTGGGGGAAGTTGTCTGTTTTCTTGTAGGTGATGGTCGACCCTGTGACAGTGGGGTGAAGGTAGTGGCGTGATGGTGGTGGAGATTGGGGGTAGTGATAGGACATTTTGGTTAATAAAAAAATAATTGTATTAGATAAATTGGTAATAGAATGTGTCAAAGGACAGTAATGTCAATTCACCTTGTGCAAGGACCATTGGGGTGTCTTTGTTAACTTTATTAAACTTAAGTGGGTGTCTTTGTTAACTTTATTAAACTTAAGGGGGTGTCTTTGTCTAAAAAAGGGCTAAGTTGTATATGGCTGTCAATATGGTAAACCTTAGGGAGTGTCTTTGTTAACTTTATTAAACTTAAGGGGGTGTCTTTATTAACTTTATTAAACTTAAGAAGGTGTCTTTGTCTAAAAAAGGGCTAAGTTGTATATGGCTATCAATAAGGCAAACCTCAATGATGTTATTATAATTAACCCTAAAAAGAATTTGATTCTTAAAATCTGTGCCTCTTGCAAATGTCGCAGAAATGGTGCTGAAATGGTATAAACGAAAAAGAAAGAAGCATAACTAAAAAGAATAATAGCTGCTTCAATCATTTGGTCATAGGTTTTGTGGTTTTTCTCCTCTTTTCTTCTTTACGCAGAAATTATCAGCTTCTGAGAAGTAGTAATAGCTTGTACAATTAAGAACTTTAGTGAAATAATCAACACATAAACGAACGAAGGGCTAAGGCTTTGCTTCTAACCCCAAAAGGAGATATAATGAGTGATGCTGCTGAGCAGTGGTCCCTAGCGTGTGACTGAGCATACAATGTAGCTGTTCTTCTAATTGTTTGTTTCTGTTGGAGAGTATGTAAATGTAATGATGATATCATAGTCTCTGCACCATGGGCTATGGGTTATAGCTTTTCCTAACAGGGTTGTTATGACAATGTACAACAATGGAAGAACGGTTAAAGCAATAGTACACCAAGAATTGATTCGGGAAAATGTAAATTTATCATGCAAAATCTTCTTAAAGATATATTTCTTCCTTCACCGGGGCATGCTCTCTAACTTGACCATTTCAAAGTGTGTCAATGCAATTGGGTTGCTCGTACTCCTGCCCCGTGATGGATACTAATTACCTTGTACACAAACAGTGACCTTTTGCCGCCCGTGGGGCACGCGTGGGGGAGGGTGTGGGGGGTTGTTTAGTGTGATTGTTCCTTGTTTGTCTTCAATGAATTGCTTACTGAATCCGGATTATGCAGGTACGTGAACTGGAAAACCATCCGAACTTCAATGCTGGTAAAGGATCTGTCCTAACCAGCGCAGGCACTGTTGAAATGGAGGCTTGCATCATGGATGGTAATACAAAGAAATGTGGAGCTGTTTCTGGTCTCACCACTGTTGTTAATGCCATATCTCTAGCTAGGCTGGTTATGGAGAAAACACCTCATATATATCTTGCATTTGATGGCGCAGAGGCATTTGCAAGGGAACAGGTTAGTGCAGATTTTATTCAGTCACTTTGTTGTTCTTGCTTACATGATGCCTTTGTGCAAGGGCCCATCTATTCGTGTATTGCATTTCCCTATTTTCTTTTAATACTTACGTTTATCGTTTATGTTACTGAAAATTTTGCTGTGCTTTTTAATAGCCTTTTTTATTTATTTATGTGAACAAAATCAACTCAGGAAGCATCATCTAAATTTTTTGGGATCGACTCTAACTTACTGTATATGCACCCTGTATTTATTTGTATTGTTGTAGTTTTATTATTCAAGAGAACATTTGATAAGTTCTGGTGAGAAATCTTATCTTTTACAATTTTAAATTTGTAGCTTTTATTTGTGGATTTGGGCCAAGCAAGCAATTGGTACACAATTTTAAATTTGTAGCTCTGTTTTATCTCCTCATTATTGGTCTTGTTCAACGTTCCGCCACTGTATGACCTTAAAATGTTACTGTAACCAAGTATCATTTTTCTTTCTTTTGTTTTCTTTTCTTATCTCTTTGAATTCTGAGTTCTTATTGATCCTCTCTTTCCCTCTCTCTCTTTCTCCATCTTTCCCTCTCTCTCTCTCTCTCTCTCTTTCTCTCTCTTGCTCCCCAAATATAAAATGTAGTACTTTTATCATGAAAGATTTGTAACGTTTCCAATTCTCTCCATTTTTCAATTTTTCAGAATTTCATTGATGCAAGGGCATTTCGATCTTTTCATATGTTACGCGCAGGATTGTGGTTGGGTCCATTTGCAATTGATGCATTTTAATTTATATGATTGTGTAACACTTAATTAGTGGTACACTTGTATTTATGTGGTGTGTATTAAAACTAAAGGAAAAGGAAAAGTCAAAGGTGGAAGTGGCGGGACCCACCACCCATGTACATAAGTGGTCTAAAGACCACATTTACTTGCCATTTTCTCTCTCCCGGTATCTCTCTCTCCCTCTCAATATTCCATTTCATTTTCTTTTCTTTTCAAGCCAATCTTTGAAGCTTGATTTCTTCTTCGTTACTTGGCGGATTTGGGTGCTGTTTGAGGCAAAACGAAGCCCACGAGAAGCTCTACACATCCATACCAGCAATTCCAGATTTGGTGCCCTCCTTAATTTTCGAATTCCTTGACCCATTTCAAGGGTTTTGCTCATTTTGAGGTAGGGGCTTCCTAATTCACATTATTCATGCACCTTTGTGAGTTATTCTACTTGAATTGTGTTATAGCATGCTTGTTGGTGTTAATTGTAGCTTAAAATGTCTTGATTGTATATATGTGAATACGTGAAGATTTGTCTTGATTGTGCTATATGAGAAGCATGCTTATATAATGAGTTCTATGCTTATTGTATTGTTCACATGCTATGAATGGTGTATGAAAGCATGTCCTATTGTATTTAGTGATAATCCATTATTGTTTAAATATTAAAAGTATGAGATCATGTTTACTTGTGTTATGTCAAATTCCTCATTTTCATAGAATTGAGATTATGAGACATGCATGTACACCATTGGGTTGCATGAAGGGAAGAAATTGTTTTTGAAATGAAAATAGAGAGTTTTGGGAAAGAATATTTTGATGGAAGTGTTTTGGGAAACCCGGTCGCTGCGAAGTTACCAACGGGCCGGTAGGTTAATGTAACCTAGAGGGAACTAAGGAGATTGCCCTAGCATGGTTAAGCTATCTGGGCCCCATAATGACGTTGCGGAGTCACTAAAGGTCAGGGACATTAGCCAATCCTTCTCTCGGCGCTACGGAGTCATCAAAGGGGGTTACATTAACAGTTTGAAAGTGATGATTCTGATTGTGAAAAAAATGGGGAGCAACATCGGCATGCATTGCATCTCCATTGCATCTTATTATTTGTGTTGAGAAGGATAACCATGTTGTATTCTCCCTATTTGGTATAACCCCAACTCCTATTGGCCTATTCTTTGTTTTGGATTCACGGGGTCTCATGAGGTGCGTCTTAGGCGTCACCTACTGAGCAAATTGCTCACCCCACTATATTATTATATTTTTCAGGTTACGGCAAAGAAACGGCGGATGAAAATCCACCACTGAAATGAAGGAACTTGGAAAATCTATTGGATGTATTTTTTGTAGAACTTGAATATATCAAGTAAAGTACATGTTCTAAAATGTATCAAGTTTATTTTGGCATGTAAATGATGAAACCTGAATCTAGAATTCATTTCGATGTATAATGACCATGATGTAAAGCCTATGTATTAAATTCATGGATTTGTTTCTCAAAGGATGTTTTAATGTGATTGCGGGTTGGTTCCCTCGTCTTTGATCGTAGAATAACTTTGGGTTGATGATCCATTTCGAGTTTAAACTATTGATAAGTTTCATTTCCAGTTTAAACCATTGATAAGTTTCATTTCCAGTTTCCCTTCCATTTTCATGGTTCAGCAAGTTGATTTATGGATCCAGACTCGGCATAGCCATTTCGGTCGACCGAAATGGTGCATCGGTCGACCGAAACAGGATTGATTGCTCTCAGGACCTCCACTTCGGTCGACTGAAATGAAGCTTTTTGGTTAAGCTTTCTCCTCCTCTTTGGTTGCTCTCGGGATCTCCATTTCAGACGACCGAAGCTTCACTTCGGTCGACCGAAATGAAGCAGCTTGATTATGCTTCCTTCTTTCTCCAGCGTTTGATTGATTAAATGACGGATTAGGTGATGGGACGTACTGAAGTTGTTATTCAAGCGTTGTAAAGGTGTGTTGACTATAGAAACGTCGTGATGGACCTAGGTAATCTTGGGTTCGAGCAAGGACCCGGCTAACGGTTCGGGCCTTCGGGTTCGGGGCGTTACAAGATTTTTCTAGCTAGTCTATAATTTATTAGACGTTCTTTTATTTCAAAGGAGACTGTTTGATTATTAGAAAAAGATGTTTCACTAATTCCCTATAATCTCCTTATTTAGGGACCTTTATGTCCTTGTTCAAGGTTTCATTGGCTCAAAAGTTGGACAAATTTTTAGCGGGTCCTGATTTTTATGAGAATTTTGATTAAATTTATGCAACCTGATTTTATTATGTGGGATTAGCAATTTGTGTACAATTACTAAAAAGAAATTCACGCATAATTAAATGTCATGTACTCACATACTTGTATTAGGTGGACGGTTGGACCCCATATGCTCACATGACAAGATTTATTTGGTTGGTGATACCATGTTAGCAAAATGATATTAATTTATTTATTTGTTGACATTTGGTTGGTGATACATGACAAGATTTATTTATTTATTTATTTGCTGACATGGTATCACTGTTGTGTTGAAGAGTTTATCGTATCAAGATACATGTTAGACTTTCTCGTATTAAGATACATATATATGTGCGTCCATCTTACACATGTACATCAGATATTAATAACATGCCTTAATTTTTTGTAACCCAACTTCATGTTATATTAATAACATGCTTTTTTTCTACCTAGTGGCTTCCTGATTGTTCCTAAATTTTTGTACTTTCAATTAACTTTATAACTGGTACCTGATTTATCCACCTGTTGTTACCAATCCAGCTGCTAAAACAGTGCCTTCTATATGTATTGTATTTTAACTACCATTTAGCCACAAATAAATACAAAAATAAACCATCTTACAGTTTTGAAACTAGAAGCTGATTAAATTTGCCATTAACAATATGAAAGCTGTTATTATCTACTTAATTTATTTATTTTGGCCTCTTTGATGTATGCTAGTGCTAGGCACTCATCCTAGTCTCTGTAACCTAATGACCAACTAATTTGACTTGATTTTGCTCCATATACACCCGCATTTGGTCATAGGTTGGGAATACAGGAACCTGTGACGCATGAACACTTCCTAAGAGGAGCTGTGTTCCTGTCAAACAACTTTCTCCACTGCTATTGGAAACATGTGGTGCTTGCCTTTTATTATTTCCAATTTCCAATTTCCGTTTCCTTTTTTCTTTCTTTTTTCCCTTAATTTAGTTTTAAGTAACTTATATTGTAAGAGAGAAGTTGTGCAGCGGTAGATAGTAGTTGCAGTAATGCATTACATAATTATGTCGGTATTGCTTATTCAGCTCTCCAATTATGATTGTTAATATAGGGAACTTGGATAACTTGATCAAAGGTACTTCTTTGTGCAAATAATACTGGAATATATATCAAAAAGACTTGCAAATTGTCATCCCCCTGGTCTTGTCCTACTTTTTCAAGTTTTTTCCCTATCATTGTAGTATCCCGTGTCTATGCTGCATAGATGAGTACCTAAGGTCAACATTTCAGATTGACACCCTTATAATTTGAGCCAACATGCTAGGATTGGCTCGAACCCTTCAACCTTCACATGGATTAGTGAGGAGTGCAGGTGCACTCTCCTATGAGCTTTGATACTCCTACTGGGTAGTGCTTGTCTTTAATAGTATTACCTATGGTTGATGATTTGATGGACTTCAATTGTGAAAAGTCTGTAGGTTTGGGGTTTAAGTGAGTGGTAGGACAATTGAAGGCTTTCTGGATGGGACAGGATGGAAGGTATTTGGTAGCAAGAAAGCTAAGAAAAAGGCTGTTGGAGTTGCTTGACAAAGTTAATTTTTATATTCTACATTATTCTCTATATCTCTGTCTTTTCAGTTCTTAAATTTTTTTATATTTGGTGACCGGATATCTTTAAATATGTTTCTATTGTTAACATTTTTGTTGTATTCTGTCTGATTGTATGCATTAGGGGGTTGAAACTACAGATACACATCATTTTATTACTCCAGAAAATATTGAGAGGCTAAAACAAGCAAAAGAAGCCGACAGGGTTCAGGTATGCTTATTACATCTCTTCCCATTTAACTTTGACCTTTATACCATAACTGAACAAAATTTGACTTGTTTCCTCAATCATCACATGTTAATTGCTAGCAGTAGCTTCTTCAGGGTTATTTTTAATTTTTTTTTATTTTTTATTTTTTCAAGAAAAAAATTTTATAGACAAGTTTTGTTTTACTTCTAGTTCCCACTTGAGCTGTTCCTGAAACTAGTTGCTGGAGTTGTATATAATTTGTTACGCAGTGTTTTGTGCCGAGGTGGATCATGTACCTTTGGTGTATTTTGCCGTTATGATTAAGAAATAGTATTCTAGTATGGAAGAAGGATGAATTGCCAAAAAAAAAAAATAATAAAAAAAAATTCCATAAATAGGATGAATTGCACTTGCCTTGCCAGAGCCTTTTGAAATTATGGAGACCTCACATAACATTTAAAAAATTACATTTTCTCCTTGCTTGCTACTGAAAGTATCATGTACCTTCCCTCCCTTCAAATCTAGTGACTGAAAATTATTGAATTTTTGTTGTTTTGTTCCAGAAGAATGGGTGTAATCAGATTTGATCTGTTGGGTCAATTCCCTAATTTAAGCCCATATTATTATGCACTAATAAGGGTTAAAAAATCATTCTATTAGGATAACACACAGCACTTGTAAGTACAGCTGTTAATCAAGCCTTGAAGCCTGAGCTCGGCTTAATTAAGACTTTCTTATTCTATTTGGTTCACTCAAGCTCGACTTGTATGAACTCTTGAGATTTTATAGTTGTTTATTAACGGACAAGGATCCTTTCCAGCCAAATCTCTCTCCTAAATTCTGCAGACCTCAATCATGTGGTACAAATTCAGTCACGACATCATTTGGTCAAAGGCTACCACCTACAAATTCAGTTGTAACAAAATTCCCAACATGGACTTTGACCAGATGATGACATGGCTGAATCTGGACCACAGGATTGAGGTCTGCGGATTTCAGGAGAGATATTTGGCGGGAGAGGATCCAAATCCATTTGTTATCTGCTGTCATGTAGTATTTGATAACTCTTCATTGACATCTTTTAATTTTACCAAGCAACATATTAGACGTGCCGCTTTTCATATGTGAATATTAATAAACAGGTAATTTTGTGGAAGTAGCATTAAATGAAAATAATGAAACAGGTGCTTCTGTGAAAGTAACCTTAATTTTGAATATTTCTCCTCTGACATGATTTCAGAGCGAGAACTATTTTTGAGTTGCTGTATGTAGTATTTTTAGAACTTTTTTTATCATGTCTCTCGATTGCAGTTTGCTGTGACTAGACATGTTTAATTCGAGATTCCCTCTTCTTTTTTTTTTTTTCCCCCCTTCATACATGTTCTGGTAACTTTTATATTACTATGACAAAATATAGACCTTTGCTTTACTGCTTACGGCTTGGTGCATGATTTTTAACTATACATAGTTATTTCTAATTGCTTGGAAGATTGTATGTGATGCATCAAGAGTTTTATAATCAGGACTTTTGTGCATGCCATAGAACCGTTTTTTGAATTCATGAAGGACCGACCTTTAGAATATTTCGATTCAAATGGAGATAGCTAAGAACTCTCTTATCAATTTGTAGATAGATTATACTCAACCCATCCAAAAAGATGCTGAAAAAGAAACACCAGCTGCTGATGGGGATAGCCAAATCGGCACAGTAGGATGTGTGGCAGTTGATAGCCATGGAAATTTAGCTACCGCAACATCTACTGGTGGGTTTGTGAACAAGATGGTTGGAAGGATTGGGGACACACCCATCATTGGCGCGGGCACATATGCCAACAGTCTGTGTGCAGTCTCTGCCACGGGCAGAGGTGAAGCAATAATACGTTCTACTGTTGCGAGAGATGTGGCAGCCCTTATGGAGTACAAGGGGCTCTCTCTCAAGGAGGCAGCAGCTTATGTCGTAGAAAAGTGCGCGCCAAAAGGCACTGCTGGCTTGGTTGCTGTGTTTTGCCACCGGAGAAGTCACAATGGCATTTAATACGACAGGCATGTTTAGAGCTTGTGCCACCGAAGATGGATATTCTGAAATCGGAATATGGCCATCTGTTTGAGTTTGTGTGTTATGTTTCAGTAGTGTAATCTGTTTGGTTTTACCAAATACCAGAATGTTGCTGTAAAATCATGGTTTGAGCTGCATAGGGCCAGCGAGACTTGGTATTTTAAAATGATCTTGGAACCATGAAATTATTATTATTATTTTGGTATTTTAAAATGAAGTGAAGAGTATGAATGTAAGAGATTGTTTTTAACATTTGCAGCACTTTGTGAACTAGAATTCTTCTTGAAAGTACCTGTGGTACATGGTTCAAAATTGCTTCTTTTTTTCTTTTTCTTTTTTTTTTTCATCAAGTTCCTTTAACGAAAAAGGTCTTAACTCATCAATTCTAAAATATGATTTGCATTTTCAGAAAAGAAAATAAAATAAAATAAAATAAATAAATTACTTTCCCCTTTTGCAATCAAAACCTTATTTTTTTTACTTCAAAGTTCTCACATGTTTTTCATTTCAAATTCGTTTTTTTTTTGCACTTATGCATGATGTACGTACTGTAACCTTTTTATTTTTCTCTTCTTATTCCTTTTTCTCTTATTAAAATTTATTACTATAATTTTATAAACTCAATGTGTCTATTTTATATCAATAGATATTAGCAATCAATATTTTGATTCTTAATCTTATATTTGTAAGTATTTGTCTCTCTTATAATACTTCTTAATTAGCATAGTATTCTGCAATGATTTTTTTTTTTTGTTTTTTCCCTAGTTTACCTTTTGATTTGAACAATATATATATTTTTTCCCCGAAGTACACAATGAAATAAATTTCTTGTTCTGTCCCACAATGAAATAAATTTCTAATTCCGTCCCACGGTCTTTTTGTAAATAAAATTTTTTTAACCACTTCTACACTGCGCAGCTCTCAATTATTGTTCAAGTAGGTTGTTCAAAATTTGAGTTGATCTTTTAAGAAAAAAAAAAAATCAAGACCTTTTTTCAAATTTTTTTTTGTTTTATAAAATAAAACGACCGTTCTTGTTCTCAAATAACCTCTTGAGAATGTGCTGATAGGATCATTATAGATGAACCTAGCATATCTTAGTCATCTACTAAATTAGTATTGATTAATGTCAACTCTAGAGCTTTAATTGTACACTATAGTTTAGTAACACCTATTGAATATTCATAACTTTGACACGCATAAAATTTTGAAATTATTATTATTTGGGGTGTATAGAGAGAGTAAGGTGTGGATTTGATTAAAATTATTGAGTTGGTCGGCATCACTATAAATTTTTGAGTTAAACTTTCCTCCATCTAATAAAAATTAGAATTTGACTTTAGAATCCACCAAATCAAAGAAGATAATGCTGAAAATGATTGAGATGATGAAAATTCTCTTGGCTAGAAAATTTAAAATGTTTCTAAAAAGAATTTTCTCCAGAACAAAAGGGGTTCGAGTTCGATGTGAGTAGAAGCATATGCAAGTATTTACGTGATCCAAATATTTATTTATTTATTTATAATCTTGGCAACAAACTATCACATTTATATTCCCGCCCCGGTGAGTGGATTTAAATTCTTGAACTTCAATTCGAGTTCAATTTGAATTCTTGACCTTCAACTTTAGAACCTGAAATTATTAACTAAATTTTAGAAAAAAGAGAAATCTTTTTGTGAAAAATGAAAAAACACGAGTAAATAAATAATAAATAAATTTAATGGACAAAAATCAAAATTCGCATTTTCAGAACGGATAAAAGAAATTGAAAAATCCTCAAAAGTTTCTTAAAAGAAATTTGAATATTACAACTTGGATGAAAAAAACAGATGATTTTGCATCACTTTGTGCCATTTAAGGGCGAATTTATGTGTATGTTTAGGTGCCTCAAGTCCATTTCAAAAAATAATAATAATAATAAAATAATAATAATAAAATAAAATTTACTACTAGTATTTGCTCATACCATTAATAATTCCTGAATCCATCCTTGATGCCATTTAATTCTTTGGAAAAATCGTCTTAAGAAATTAAAAGGTGCCAACCTTACCTTCTAGATCAATAGAGCTTATTTTGAAGACTCGTGGATGGAGTTACCGCGAGATCACTTTGGTATTTGCCGTGGAGGGGGACCATTATGGGAGAGCATCATCTCCAAAATATATATATATATAATTGTAATTGTAATTTTTTATTTTATTATTATTATTAATTTTTTTTTTCCTAATGTGAGAATTACTTCATCCATGATTAGTAAACTTTATGATCTCTCATAGTGACGGACCAGGAATTTTTTTGAGGGGGCCGTCGTTGATGAATAAATAAAAAAAATTGAAGAAAAATATTTTAAAAATAAATTAAAATAGATATAAGAATTTAATTTTTGTGGCTGGTTCGACACGTGACAGGAGGCCGTGTTTAACACATGTTAGTGTAAGATCCAAATTCTATGACTTTTTAACTGTGTTCGTGCTTTTTAGATTATCATAGATGTGAGGCAATGAAGAAACAAGAGAATCGGTTTTGGAATAAAAATAAAGTGGGAACATGAGAGAACTGATTACTATGAATGTGGGGACAGTAAAGAGTGACAAGGAGAGACCATTATCTTTTGAATCCAAAATATTCAACGTGGGCAAGAATGTGGAGCGGGGTATTTTTACAAATTGAGTGGGAACATTTTTAAAATTTTGACAAAAAATATAGTTAAAAATGTAAATAAAAAAATTAATGGGGGCAAATGTCCCCATTGGACCTTTCCATAGGCTTCGTTTGGCAAAAGTCTAGGTGGAGGTTGAAATCGAGTCCATCGAACGAGGCGTGTAAAATAACTTGCAAAAAATTGATAAGTAAGTTGTTTACATTAGATTTTAATATTTTTTTTCTTTGTAACCAAACACCAAAATATATATATATATATTAAAAATTATTTACATCCAAACAAACAAAGTCTTAGCCATTAAAAATTCAAGCTATAAAGGGACACAATTGTTTAAATGTGGAAGTCGACAATGAAATGTGTTGGAAAACGATTTAAAACAATGAAATGTGTTGGAAAATTATTTTAAAAGCCGGAGCAAACAATTTGGCTAAATTATTTTTATGAATCAATTAATTTTTAAGCGATATAAGAACAAATACCACATTTAGACAAGTAAAAGATAATCAACTATGAGAAAGATCTTTAATTTATGATCAATCTTGAATTTTTGATAAACAATCTTAAATTCTTGAGTTTCAAATCTCCTATTAATCTTCAGTCCTGTATAAGGAATCCACTAGTTCGAAGGAGCGGACTTCAAGCAGAGAGAAACTTTTGTGTAGTAAAATTATGTAAACTTGTGTGGACTTCAAGCCTTTATTAATTCTAATAATAAATTATGTAATAAATTAAGAAAACACATTGTATGTCTAAATCATTTTAAACAAAACAATAAGAAGTCCCTCATCAGCTATAGAAGTGGAAGTAGCCAAATTGTCTTTATTTTTGTTTAACGGTCTAGTTTTTTAAATTTTTCTCAATAATATTTAATAGTAATGAAAAGAAATAAAATATTAAAAGAAAAACTAATTCACTAATTACAATAAAAAAAAAAAAAAAGTGAGTGTAGGAAGCACTCGAACACTTCTCTTATTTTGTTGTTTTATTTTTTACTATCATAAATAGTAACTTTTTGTGTTATACATGTTATATGTATGTTAGGGTACTTTTGCTTGCATTATACTTTTTTAATTTATTTTAAAATTTAAAATGTATTTTATTACTCTTATATATATATATTAATTTATTTCATACTTAAATCTATTTTTATTCATTAAATAAACTAACTAAACATTTTTAATAACGATAGGGACTTAGAATTTATGAATGGGTCATTGCTCATATTAAATAATATTCAAAAATTCAATAAGAATCAATACAAATTTATTTTTATTGAATTATGTTGTAAAGAATTATATCCCAGGGCATTATACGTTAAAAATTATGTTTGTGATAAATGATTTTGTTACGTTCGCTGATACGAACCCAATTTTGTTATACAAGGCACGCAATTGAAAACTATGGTTGTATGTATGGTATTTTCAGTGTAAAGTAACTATGGTTGTATGTACTGTATTTTCAATGTAAAGTATTGAAAACTATGGTTGTATGTATTGTATTTTCAGTGTAAAGTATTGGAAGTGTATCAAAATGAGGACATTTTGATATGCTTTAAAAATAAGGTGGAAGGGTGGTGATATTGGTGCTCCAAGAAAATACTATGGCGCTCAATTCATTATTTAAAAAAAAAAAAAAAAAAAAAAAAATTTGAAATGACAAAGTAACTCCAATTAAACTTTCTTTGATTATGTCTCTCTTTTATCTTTCCTATTTTTTTTTTTTTCCTCACGCTTTCTTCCATTCATGGCTCCTTCCATTTTCTGTTTCCTCCAATTCTAGGGACATCGATGCCAATTTGATAAGATCCTTGAGCCTTTTTATTATTATTGTTAGGATTTCACACACACAATTGACAAATATAATAGATAAAAAATCATACACAAGCAAAAAATAGGATTCACGTGGTTTGGCAAATTGCCTAGACGACGAACGAAGAATAGCTAACTTTACTTCAACAACTTAATTACACACTATTTTCTCTCTCACAATCTCAACTCTCTTTTTCTCTCTTCAATTTTCTCTCTCATACCCATATATATTTATAGCCTTCAAACCCAAATCCTTTTGGACAAGGATTAACTTGCCTACAAGGAGTTACCATATTAGTCTCCAACTCTAAAATAGATGTACAACTTCTTCCCCAAATCTTCCGCCTTTTTCCTAAGTTTTTTGGCTAGCAAAACCAATTAGGAAACTGTTTTTCGTAGCTTCCAATAACTCACTATCCAAGTTGAACCGGTTCAGCCCCATTTGAACCGGTTCAATTTTGGCAGTAGCCAAAGACAGAAAACTACACATGCATGGTTCAGCCCCACTTGAACCGGTTCAATTTTGGCGGTAGCCAAAGGTAAGCCAAAATTTGTAACTTTAAACATCCCAATTCTATCAAAATATGACTACACGTACATGCTCTACCTCGAACAAGGATCTCTTCATAACTCGACCTTAACTATTTCTCCACCTTAAATAAAACACTATGATGAATTGAGAAACACTTTAACAATCTCCACATTTTCTCAAATTCATCATTCTTCTTTTCGTCGTTCTTCGCCGTACCATCATACTCATCTGTTCTTACAAATTCCAAGTTCAAATAATTAAACTTGGAATCTACTTTCGCATCACTAAATTGAACTCTTCTTGTTTTTGGGATAAAGGCTAGTGCTCTTGCAATTGTCAAGACTTCTTTCTTTTCTTGTTGTTCTTGATTATTTATTCTAGTGGATCTCGAAATAGGCTTCCATTCCGTCTTTGCAATTGCTCCACCTAGCATAGTATT